TGTTTATTGCAGATTGGGTGGGACCCTGGGGCCTCCCAGATTCTGCTGGACTCCCAGTTCTCACCAGACCTAGCTAGGTTGAACAATGAGCAGAGATGATGGCAGGTGTAGTCACTTAGTGCAGCAAAGGATGTCCGCATGTTTTTAAATGGAAGAGCAAACATATCCCACCCTCTTCTGGAAGTTCAGAACAGCTTACATTTAAATTCCTTGCTGGAATTTCACTCTACTCCATTATGCGCTGCACCCTAAACCTGCTTGTGACAGAGTGTCCATTTGAGAAGTTTTGTACTCATATTGGCCCAGATCAGGAACAATACCAGCTCCTTCCTTTGACATGAGCCAAAGGGGCTCCCTGCTGCACTGCCCCTCTCCCCTGTCAAAGTGCCTCAGTCCCATACATCCCATGAGCCATTCTGGAATACCCAGCCCTCACTTTCATGCTTGACTAGCATTGCCATTACATTGTTTCCCACCAAGTCTTAGAACTTTCCCCCACAACAATCGTGAGCCTTGGGGGTTTCAGGGACGCAATCTCAGTAACTTTATGAGCCTGCCTAAAGGGCTAGTGAAGAATAATAGTGGCTAAGAGACTGAAATGTGAAAAGAAAACGTTCCTCATCTAAATTCTTACCTAAGTGTTGCTGGCTATGCATCAAGCCCTGGCCTGCAGAAGAAGCCAAGCCGGCTCTGTCAGCTATCTGGGGAATCGTTTGAATGATGGTGGTGGAACTTGGACCATCATGATGCCACGTGACATGGTAATTGTGCCTCAGTGTTAGTGGGAGAACCACTGCAATATCTTTCTCTTGGGAGAGAAGTGTAGGCAGAAATGGAGCCAAGAACACAAGCAGCGTTCTCTCGCTCTCTTGCTCCCTCCATTTAGATATACAACCCTCTGCAGAGTTTCCCATGTGCATCTCCACTTTGATCTTGGTCAATTTAACATAACCAGTTTCAGCTCTAACAACATCATGTGAATGTTAATGAAGAGCCATTCCTTGGATTCCATGCAAGAGGATTACATGCAAATTTGTTATTTGTTCTTAATTCCCTTCCACCGAATTGGATCCTTTTTGACAAGTCTGGAGTTACCCAAGAGTATTGCATCTAGATCCTAACTGAAGGTTTTTTTGAAAGTAGGAAATATGACATTCTAGTGTACTCAGGGTTGGAGAGAAAAGAGGATAAACCAAAGTCATGCTGGAACAAGACAATCTGTGCCTTGGGTGGAGAAAGCATTAATGAAGCTTTGATTTATGGATTTAAATTGTCTCCAGCAGCCAAGTCCGCCTGGAGTTTCAAAGAACACACAAGCTCTCAAAGTTACCGCAGGCACTTATGGAAAATCATTTACTCCGCACCCTACTGCCAAGGAGCAGGTGTGCAAAACTGTGGAGTTCGGACTGAAAACTTGCAGAAGTTTCTGCTAGAAACAATGGATGCATTCCAAGAAACAAGTTCTGGCTGCCACAATTAACAGATGTAGCGATTCAGTATGGTGCAATGCTTGGAGCAGCTTTCCCTAACCGGACTCCTCCAAGATGGTCGTCTGCAATACCCAACAACCAAGCTAGTACGATTAATGACCAGGGATGATGTAGGCCAAACTATTTGGAAGGTCTAGCACTGGGGAAAGCTGGGTTAGTGTGTCAGATCAAATCTTTACTCAGAACCAAGCTTGGGTGAGGGAACCTTGGCTCTGTCATCCTTTCTCTGCTTAAAGTTTAAGAAATGGAGGAGGGAGAATCATGTAAAGCCTTGGGCTCCTTGGGGGAAAAACTTGGAAATTAAACAAGAAAATCAGTGAAGCGAAATTGCTAAATTGGATCTTATATTTGAGAAGTCAAGCAATGATGTCAGTTACATGAGGCCATAACTTTTTGTTACTTAAAACATTCAAGCACACAATTTTTTCCCAAAAGAAAACCTCAAGTTTTGCACCTGTGGCTCTGAAAAACAACGGATTGGTGCTTGTCCATTCCTAAGGCTATGCGGAAATAAAAGGACAGCAGCTTTCTGAGATGCAGTCTGTGCAGCTGCAGAACCCAACTGTTGGATGACAGAGACCAGAGGTTGCCCTTCCATGCATGGCTCATGCTCCGAACCATTCCCCCAGCTGTAGTTGAACTTCTGGGAATGCCTAACTTAGATGCATTAATTATCAGGTAAAAGTTGAGTCACTGCGATCCAACGAAGTAGGTCTTGATGCAGAGGCCTGCTTCTGTAGATCCAAATGTGTGTCGTGCTGAAGGTTGTCCTGAATTTCTTTTGTTTTTTGGAACGAAGTAGTGCTTTCATGGCAGTTGAAATCTTTCTCCCCAATCCCTTTGCGAGAGTTCTTAACTTGTCAAAAGGCCCGTCCACTGCTGTTGCTTTCCTTATCTGCTACCACTTCTAGCCCCTGCTTCCTCAAAGTGAGGAACATTAAGACAAATCATGATACTACACAGCTAGTCACTTTTGGCTCTTCAATGGCACCCTTAATGTGGAGGGCAAACAAAATTTATTTATTTAGGATATGCTTTCGTCTCTGGATGGCTTACAACAAAACCAGCTAAGAGAGGCAGCAAGAAAAGGATATGGGTACACACTGGCAAATATTCCCACTGGTTTTGAGAAAAATGAAAAAGAAGATGCTTTCCAATGCGAAGAAAAATGTGGGCGGTTTTCGCTCAGTCAAAATTAGGATGCCTGTTTGTGTCCGATTGAGCCAGCTGGAAGCATTTGAAAAATGTGAGGTTGTGCATCCCCATTCACGGGGCTGCTAGTCGCTGAGCCCTCCACATTCATGCCTGATGGTGTATTAGGATCAGCAGAGTGGGCTTATTTTAAACTGGAAGGAGTCCTGATTTTTTTATTGCTGGCATCCCTGTGGAAATTTTTATTTCCCCTCTATGTAGGAAAGTAGGACTTTACAACCAGTTCAGAATATGACAGCCTCATTTTTTTTTAAAAAACCACATTTTAGTTTATTACATCAAAGACTATTTAAAATAGGCCAAAGGAAGTAAAAACAAAACAAAACAAAAGCAACCCCCCAAACTCACTACAAATCCATAAGCAGCTGATGGATTATGAGACATTTGCAAAACTGGATGCTTTTGATTAAATCTACACTTTAAAAAAATTCTCTGAGGAGACAAGGGTAGATGACAACACTGAAACAACATTCTTAGATAGCTTGTCTAAAACAAATTAGTTAGTGATGGTGAAAAAAGTTTGCAGAATTCATTTCAGCTCAGAACCATTTGAAAGAAACTTTGCATGATGCTCATGTAGTGTGGTGTGCCATAGAAGGTGAAAATTTTTGACAAGGGTGAAGGAATTGCCTTGGATTGTGTTCCACCACACTTTTACAAGTTATTCTCCACAAAGGCATTAAAAAGCATCCAAAGGGGAGAAAAGGCCCCAAGATGTCATGAAGCCACATGACACAATCACATTTTTGGTAAAAATAGGGTAAAGCAGCATTTCCCCACCTGGCCCCCACTCCACCAGACGTTGGGAGCGCAGCTCTCATAATCTGGCTGTGAAAGAAACTGCATTCTCTTGAGAGAAACTGCGTTCTTTTTGTCTGTGCATGGGAGATACTATTAGTGCAGAGAGGAAGAACAGATCTAGACAGCAAATCTTTGCTTAAAGTATTTGTGGTTTTAAACTGCAGAGATCTGAAATGCTTATAATCAGTGTTTGCTTTCAATGCTTATACTTAATATTCCAGCACTGCAGCTTCTTTTGTCTTAATAGATCCTGAAAAGGGGGATGTTAAGACTATGATTTTTCATACAAATTTTCAGTAAGTACATGTGTAACAACACCACTAATATATTCAAAAAATCAGGGGAAATACAAGAAACACTTTAAAATACTATTCTGGAGAAAGAGGAAGAAAACAGGATTTTTGAATCTCAGTGCTGTAGTTTTAGCCCAAGTGGAAGCAAGAAACTTCCTTTCTTCGTAAAAATAAATGGCAATTTAATTCTGTGGGAAGAAACTTGTGGTTTTCACAGAAATTAGAAAAACGGTTATGTTTGGCAGGAGCTAACTTTGGAATATGGGTTCCAGATGCACTCTTTAATAATGTGGAAGAGGGAGACTAAGGTTTGGGAAACTTGCACCATAATAACCGGATTCTAAGCTTTTAGTTCCTGAGAAGAGGGAGCTTTTCTGAGATATAGTCTCTTCTTCAGCGCTCTGTAACATTTCCTTGGAAAAGGGGCATAGGGGAGAAAATAGCAAATAATAAAACAAAACTGTTTCCTTGAGCCATGATGCCCCTATTGTGGATGAAATGCAATGCAGTGAAAGCTGGGAACTGGCTTTATGCCAAATGATCACCCAGAAGTCATTGCTCATTCCTGGACATTTGTACTCATCAGCATCACACAAGGTACAAACAGTTGTTAGGTGGCTGCTAACATATAAAACAAAAACAAAAACAACAAAAAAAGGACACCAATTTCCATACAAGTCTTTCCCATGCTGCTAATAGTTTTAGCCAGAGATACATGGAAAGACACAGCTGTATATTTATTCTTTTTTTTCAGGGTCTTCTGGAGCTCCTGGATCAGTTGGTGGTTCTTCAACCATGGCACTGTTGCTTTCTGAACCAGTGTTGCTGTCACTTGTTCCTTCCTCTGCCATGCTCTCAACCCCTTCTTGTCCACTCTCTTTGTCTTCTGGTGTGGATGTCCCTTCACCGTTTTGCTGGTTTTCAATAGGTTCTTCAGGGGGAGGTTCCTCTGCCATAGAAACAGTTTATTATGTCAATTAGATACTTTTGTTGTTAACCTGAGTTCTATCGGAAAGCTTTTCAGGCTTAACAACAGCATGCAGAGAGTTTAAATAATGAATTGCATGGACAAAAGGAAAACAAAGTAAGATGGTCTTATCTTTAAAATTGTTATCAATTTTCTATCAAATTGTGGCCTAGTTAATGGAGATCTTGTGTCAACATCTGAATGGTTTCATCCCACACTACCCCTAAAGCTTAGGGGATATAATACTATTCCATACGCAAAAGTCAAGTCAAATTCAGTAATGGTATGGAAGTTACTATGGACATCTGAGGCTTAGATCAGATGTCAAAGCAGAAAATGCAGGTAACAGTTGTCACCTCCACTCACCCAAACTCCCTGAGGTAAGTTCCACCTACAATGTTTGAAAATTCCATAGCTTCCGGCCACATTTTCACACCTTTGAAATAAGTTGCGGCATCATGTAATACTCATGGGTATTTTGAAAGTTCAGAAGTTCAACTTCCAGCACAAGGGCTTAGGAAAAAGAGCTGGCTATGAATTCTTGTTGGGAAGAGGTGTGGAAGAGTTGGAGGAGCTGGTAGTGTTGGGATGAGGGAATACATGTGATGATTAATGCAATAGGGAAGACACAGCAATGAGTACACACTTTGCAAGCCTCACCCAAAGTATTTCTTTTCATATAAACACAAAATAATTCCTGCCCCTTGAATGCCCTTGATCAAAGAAAGGCGATACAACTTGAGAGGCACGTAGAATGAAAGCAATGGACAGAATTAGCAGGGGAACTAGTTTTTAATACAGTCTGGGATGGAAGAAATTACTAAATGTACTTGATCATTCCTGCCAATTTGGCAACACAGGTAATTGCCCAGTTCTCTCCTCCCTTCCTAACTCCAATTAAGCTGTGAACACATGCAGGGTGCTGGGAAGGCACAAGGGCCTTTCTGGTCCGCAGAAAATGTTAAGTGGAAAATTTGCTAACAATGTGTTTCATAGAGTCAATCTGGGTAAATGCCTGGCAGTACAAGTACATCCTGTGATTGAAAGGGCAGGGTCCCTAATTTTTCATGGCTTTTCTGGAGCCTATGCTTCAAGGATGTAGCAGACTCTGTGCGTATTTCCAATGCAGAAAGCAAGTCACTAAGCTAAGTGTGATTTTTTAATTCTGCCTTTGATTGAGAAAGTTTTTCTCCTGGATTGATGGTGGGAACTTAGAGAAAGGACATACATGGTGTTCCTAGATGAGCAACCAGCTGCTCTGGAGCAGCTCCACAGGATGAAAACAAAGACATAGATGACAAAGTGGAAAATGTTTCCCCCTTTGGGCATTTCAGCAAGAGCTCCTGCTTTGTCTGTTTGCTGGACATTTAAATCACAAAGTTATAGCTATTTAAATTTGTTGTTCCCCCTTTTGTTACCAAAGAGTTGCATTGTTTATTTATATTATATTTATATCCCACCATTTTTTTCCTTTCAAGGAACTCAAGGTGGCTTATATCCTCCTCCTCTTCTCAATCTTATCCTCACAACAACAACCCTGTGAGGTAGCTTGGGCTGAGAGTCTGTGACTGGCCCAAACTCACCCAGTGGACTAAGTGGGGCTAGAACCCAGATCTCCCGAGTCTCAGTTCTGCACTCTTAACCACTGCACCACACATGTTCTCTGGCATCATAAGGTGTATATTCTAGTTATGTTATAAGATGTAGCAAAATCCACAAAGCCCTGGTTATTAAATCAATGTCGAATTCAGTGTTCCTCACATCTGTCTTGTCAGACATTATGTCACTTTCTTTCAGTGACCTTCTGGAAAGATAGCAGTTACCCAAGTTATTTGTAAAGAATACCTTTCCAGAGGAAGACAGAAATATTTAAAACCAGTTATAAAACTCTTCTCTGGGGGGGCAAGTGAGATTAGATGCACTCATGTAAATGTAGAGATAAATTAAAGGGCTCACAAAATGACTTGAGAACTAATCTGGGAAGCCTGCTGAAACAGATACGTTTTTAACTTCCTTTTAAAGGTGGTAATTTGGAAAATCAGATGCATCTCGCCCAGCAAACCATTCCGCAGTTTAGGAGCAACCAATGAGAAAGTGTTCTGGGTAGCTGACATTAATCTGACTTCAGAAGATTATCCCCAGAGGATCTTAGCTGGCTAGGCGGAATGTATGAAAAGTACACTCTTAAAATCAGATATATCAAAAGATATTATTTGATGCAGACTTCAAATCCTTTTTCAATAATGATTAAATAAAAAATTAAGACCACATTCTCCTGCCTTCACTTCCCCACTGTAGCTTCTTCGAGAAAAGCCTAACGCTGGCTTTGCGAAAGCATGTACCTGTTTCTATGGGTGCAGTTCCCTCTTCTTTCTTCTCTTCCGCCTTGCCAGCAGCTTGCTCCTCCTCAGCGCCTATGCTGTTCTGATGGCGCTCTGCTTGCTCTGCAGCTTCTTTCTCCCTCTCCTCCTGCCGCTTTCGGGCCTGCTCCTCAGCCTGAGCAATTTCCGCAACGATTTTCTCCATATCCACCTCTACTTTCAGGCTACACAGCTAGGGGTAAAAGGAGAAAAAAAAAATCTCACTTTGGAATCCAGCACTTTTGTCCAGTTATTTTATCATCCTAATAGAGTTCACATGAGCTTAAGTGGACTCCGGGGGATAGTGGAGGACAGCAAGGCCTGGAGGAATGTTGTCCATGGGGTCACAATGGGTCAGACATGACTTGATGACTAGCAACAATAGAGTTCAAATCTCGTCTTGATCATGAATTTGCTAGGTGGCCTTCTGCCAGCCATTTTCTTAGTTTTTCTGTTATATATATTGATTCTCAATATCCAAGCCATGACTCATCCACCTACTGTAATCTTGAGCCTTACCTAAGAATTTTGTTATGCTGGATCAGACCAAGATGATCATCTGATCCAGTATTCTTTGCAAAAATCCCAGCAAACAGCAGCACTAGTTAACCCCCCTCAAACCTGACCAGAGGTGGCTCAGTGGGTCTTCTCTTACCACAGTCTCTAGCACAGGGTAAATACAAAGAAACTGCTTAATATTCAGTTCAGTGGAAATTGGCCAGTGATCCACCTTCTGCTTCTGCCTTAGTGGTTAACTGTGAGGACTATCAAAATAATGCATGTGGACCTCTTAGACCATTATAAAGTGTGGTACAGATTCAAGCTGTGCTTTCAACCTGCAGAGAGAATTTCGAAAGTGCACCATGATGGCTAGAAACTTGCTTTTTAAAACATTAAACTTCTAATGCCTTCCAATGTCTAAGCAAATCTTGAGGGCCTCACAAACATTTCTAAAGATTTGCATGTTTGTGCACATGGAAATGATCTGCAGTTCTAGTTTTTTTCTGGACCATTTCAAAGGAATTAGGCTGGATAATAACAAGGGGTGAACATACAATAATTGTTCTCATAACATGCCTCTTCTATTAGTTCAAAGATGGTCTCTCAATGTGGCATAATATTCAAACCTGTAGGCAAACCCCTTTTTTCTGAGGAATGTTTTTACTTAGAAGCAGCACATACAATAAGGAGTCCTAGATGAGCACAGTAGTAGCAATCATCATCATCTTCTTCTTTTAGTATAATCCTTTACTCAGAGGCAATTCCCACTGAGTTCAATGAGGTTACTCTCAAGTAAGTAACCCAACCTATACTTGTGTGCAAAAAGAGTATTGGTTATAGGGCGGATTTAAGATACAATCAATAAATACTTTGGCAATTATTTATAAATCAATAAATACAGACAAACATTTATTTATTTATTTAAATAGTTATAGCCTATCTTCAATCAAGGTAAGATGGCACCTGCAGAATTTCTAGGTGGTCTCCTGTCTAGGCATTGCCTAGAACCGGACCAGCACCATTTCAGCAAAGTCAGTGGGCTATGGTCCTTTGGGCTTTGCCACTGCTATATTCACCGCCTCTGACCTGTACCATTATGGCTTGCCCTTGGAGTGAAAACAATGCTTGCCCTTGGCTGAACTGTATTCAGTTCTGAACTGAACTGACAATTCATATACCACTCCAAGTCTACACACATTTCAGAGCAGTGAAGAGATTCTGGAGCAAATGGATTCATGATGGAGACTTGAGAGTACCACCACACATATGAGATAAGTACCCATGCCTACAATGACTGGGTATATACTGTGCGAAACAAGCAGTGCTATGTGACTCAGAATACAGATGACAAAACCCACCTGATTTAACTATAGTTTATGGTAAGAACAAATTTTAATATGCTTCATCAGATTTTAGAAATTTGACTTATTCATAAAAAGTGGAACTTCAGAATAATTTTCCATAAGAACATGTCCCTGCTGCATTAAGCCAGAAAAATGACTTTTTAAAATAACAGGGTTTTTAATAAAAATATATGCCACTTTTATGAGGAAGTTTTTATAATAATGTACATGAGCCAGCTTGACTTTCCCAAATTAAGTTTTCCCCATTTGACTTTCCCAAATTAAGCATTAAGTAGAATGCTTCAGCAGCCAGAGTGGAACTCCGTAAGCAGGGTTGTGAGTCCTACTTTTCCTAGTCAGGGCAAGACACATGCATGAAACTGAATTCGCTCTCCTTATTCAAGCATCTTTCCCACCAATGGAAGTGGCCTGGCCAGCACTATGGGCATGCAATTTGTCAGTTCTTCATACAGGGGTTAAAGATGTAGGCCTGGGGCAAAAGTAAATAGTCACCAATATTGTAAATAACCCTGCTGAGTCCATCTCAAACATCTGAGAAGAGAATAAGCTATCTTGCTCATTCCACAACTAATATATTCCTGAGAGCTGTGCTCTACGCCACAAGCTGAGGTGGGCCTAGATGTCACTGAAGTGATAACCTGTGTCTGGGCCACAGACAAAAGACAGAGACTCAGGTGATGGAATCCTTCTTGATAAGTGAAAAAGCGGTTCCTGCATATAGCAAAGGCACCTGTCAGGAAGAACGCTAATCCGAAATGGTTTTCTTGATATAAGAGTTTCCATTAAGAGGTGTATTCAGTCATTTGAGTCTGCTAACCAACCTGCAGTCTGACATGGTATGATCCACACAGAGGTTTATAACCTCAGTGAGAATTTAAGACCTTAGAAGAAAGCGCTGCAAACTCTTTGGCCTCCATGTATTTTACCTTGGAACTAGCACTGCTTGAGCTGGCTGCTGTTCTTACTGTTCTCTCCCAGTCTACATAGTGGGAGACAAAATGTTGACAAAGGGTATCAAAATTCCTTCTTCAAAGGAAATTAATTCTAGATTGGCCGTGGGCTTGCCCACTATTTATAGATAAAAGAGACCACTGGCCTCGAGGCTCTCTAGTAGAAAGCGTAAAAATGCAATGGCAGCAGGCCATTGCTTCACTTCTCCCTGACCTCAGCTCTGAAGAATCAAGGATCAGGCCCAACACACACATCCTCTTTCTGCCTGGACTGCACATGGAGGCACAAGTGGAACAACTCTGGAGAACCATACCCTCTTCAACTCGTTGTTGAAGGATTCTGTACTCTCCAAGAATTTCCTCTTCTTGTCCTGGTGGCGCTCTTCTATCTGTAGGAGTTCAGCTTCTAGTTTCCGCTGTATGTGGGGAGAAATTACAACACACAGTGAATACAAGGTTGTAACAAACACATTAGTGCAAAGTATATACTGCTTTATTTGAGGGAATAATTTTGGGATGTGTGCCATTTGCCTGTACTCTGTATTTTGTGAAGAGAACATTTAGCCACATACTAGGTAAAATGATATATGTAGAAAAAATACTCTCTGGCATTTTCAAGCTAATGAGAAACTGCTGAGCCTCTGACATAAGTGGTTCCCAGATTCATTTATTATTTCACTTGTTACAGAGCAGAGATTGTACAGGAATATTTGAAGAGTTACTTCACACCTCTTATTAAATTAGTTCTCCCAACGGATACCATCTGAAGCACTGAATAGTGGACCTTGCCCCTCTGAAAGTATGTGTGAGAGAGGTAAGTTCTGTGGGCAAACGGAGATATATGCTTAGCATGTGTGCATCATGTGGCTTGGAGGATATCCCAGAATGCTTAATTCAAACACACTCGAGATTATAGCAAGATTTTTTCCCCCACCTTCAAGAACTTGTAGCTCAGGGGAATAAAAGTGTGCATACATCTGTTAAGAGCTAGAATAAACAGCACAATAATCTTCTCTTATAATAAAGGGATAAGGGGAAGCAATATATAAAACCATAATTGAAAGTCATTCCATCCCAAGGGTTTTCTAATTTGCAGACTTTGTGTTCCACACCACCACATCCAGCATTTTCTCCTCCTGCGCCTAGGTTTTGGTTAATAACCAGCCCAAAGAAGAGTTGTGACAATTTAACTGGCCGTAAGAATCCTCCTGTGATTTTCAGATTCTTCCCTCATGGCTCAAACAGAATTATATGTGCTTTTTGAAGCTTCTAGTAATTTGGCAGCTTCTGGCTTTGGTAGATGGCACTTTAGCATGATATTTTGACTCACAATTTACGACATTCCAAGGGCTTAGGGAAAGTACCTATGTCTTAATTATTCTACTCTACAAGAGGATACAAGAGTCCTTCTGGAGATAACCAAAGGTACATCTAGTTCAGGATCCTGTTTCCAACAAATGTCTGGTCACTACAAGCCAGTTTGGGCAGTGGGGGCAGGGGGTGGTCTTACACCACTTTCAGTATGCCTAGTATCGCTGTTCATTTCAAACAGGTTTCAACCCAGTTTTAAACTGTTGTACCTTTTACAACCTCTTTTCTGGGAGAAGAGGCTAGAGCTCTCTTACAAAAGAATTTTCACCATGCTTCCAAAGCTACAGATGCAGAAGCAAATGGTGGTGCATTGATTTGAAATGGTAAATGGTGACCTATCTAATGGTTCTGGACCTGCCATAACACAATATGGGTGGCTTGTATCAGGCAGAAACTGACCCAGTGTAGGCACAGGATCTCACTCATATACAAACCCTTTCCAAGGACAATTTACATTTATTAATAGTGTTCAGATACCCAAACATTACCTGGTGAACCATTAAGGACTGAACCTGACGCTTGAGAACTTGCATCCTTGCTGTGGTGACCACTGAGCGAACATCAGGAACCACACTTTCACTCAGGATTTCACTAATCAAGCGGTGGTTCCTCTGAAAACGGGCGGTAGCAGTGTGTTTCATAGAAAATCCATCATCATAATCTGTAACAAAGACATTTGCAGTAATGAATGTAAAAGATGTAAGTGCAGCTTTTGCATTCTGTGACCACTGCTTAGATCTACAGGTAATACTGGTCACATAACCTCAAATTCTACACCATTCTGCTGATCCCACATTCTTTTCTGAAAACCTGAAGCTAAGAAGCAGAATTAGGTAAGAACACACCACCCAAAGAAAACTTAAAATACATACCCACATATAAATAACTCCATGGCTGCTGCAGTGTGTTTGCTCTATCCTTAAAACAGTCTTTCAGGGTAGGGAAGTAAGGATTCCATATTACACGGGAAGGAACAAAAAGGCGGATCTGAGATTTGGGCTGGCTTGTGCTTTCACTATTATGTTACACCAACTCACAAATCCAAAACTTCCTATTCTAAGTATCACTAAGTACAAGTGCTTTCTCTTATACAGACATTGTGGATGATGTGCAATTACACTGCATTCCAAGACATATTTACTCAAAAGCCATTTCTGCTGGACTCAGTGGGGCTTACTCTTAGTGTATGTTTGCAACCTCGCAAAAATGAAGGGGACAACCATGAAGGTCTAGCCCAGCCTCATAAATAAGCCTACAAAAGTGATTAGCTTATACAACCTTTTGCTAGCCTGCTGAGAGCTAGCAGAGGAGGTGCAGAGAATGCCTCCTCCCTCCACAACGGCCTCCTGCGTTTTTATGCTGTCTGCAGAAGCCGGGGCTTCCTTATGTGGCAGCCGACCTAGCTTATATGCTGTGTGCAAAGATAGGATGGAGTGCTCCAGTCTCGTTCCACCAGCCAACTTGCTTCTCTGCTTACCATTCCTTGACACCTGTGGCTACTAGGTACCTGCTTGGATACCAGCTGGTCTAGAGCTTTCTTAACTGAATCTTCTTGCTTTGCACATGCAAAAGAAGAACAAATCCCTTGACAAACATTCATCTGCCACTGCTGAAGGAGACCTGCAAGGTCACTGGGTTTTTTTTCTTCTCAACAGAAACCTAGCAAGGCCTTGCCTTTTTCTTTGCCACCTTTGTCACCCCACAAAAATAGCCAGTTAAGCTGGATTGCACACTCACTCCCACCCACCCCCACCGCTGTCCGAACCACAAATGAAAGAATGCCACCGATAATCAAGTACTGAAGGCACACCTCCAAATTAATTCTTGAAATGGGGGAGGATAAATGTCAAGTACAGGTTTGGCCTCATAGCTAAATAAAACTTTATTTTTACATAGGTTTCATGTAGGAACTACCCTAAATTTCTAGGCCCATCCCTTCCACTCAATGAATCCTTAGTAAGAGAGTTTGAACTTTGGACCATATGCTGGCCCTACAGACAAATGAGCGTATGCCTATTTCTGATCCGCTCTGATTACTCTCCGAGAGCTGGGAAGCTTATGTATAAGCTTACTTGTTGAACGGCCTGAAAGCCCTTCCGATTAATTCCATGTGTGTACAAGCTTGCTATGCTTTACTCACCACAAGAGAAAGACCTTCTGCACATATTCAGGGGTTCTCTTTTATACTGTTTCCATGCTGCGAGGGCTGAACCTTGACAACCAAATTTCCTAGCCCAAAATCCCCATCGGAAATATTATGCACACTTCCACAAAACACTGTGGTGGGAATACTGAGACTATTCCCTGCAACTAAGGAGTCACTTTTGATAGACAGAATGACTGGATTCCACACAGCAACCTGCAGAGAACAGTGCAATCGCTACAGTAAAAAGGCCATGGTTTGGAAAGGCTTCAAGGGAAGGGGATATGGTCCATTTATGGGAGATACCAAATGCTCTGTGGGCCAGAAGTCAGCAGCTTGGTAGTTTTTGATATTACAAGTTCTGTCAAACTGGAGATTGTATGAAGAGGAGAGAGCAGCTCCTTATGGGGAGAAATGAAGAGGCTCAATTTCCTATTCCAATCCTCCTATTCAGGCTGGGGAGAAGTGTTAAAAAGGTGTTCTCTTGTAAGTGTGGGAAAGAGATGCTTCCCCTGATCATATGGTTCTACCTCTAGTCTCTGCTCAGTCATTCCGCTGAAGAACATACTGCAATTATCCCAAGACAAATACATGCAATATTATTTCAGGCTGATGTGCTACAAACAACCATGCTCCCAATGTGGAGGGCTGCACACTCTTTGAATTCATGCTTACTGGATTGCATTCAGTAACTGGGGAACTGTATTGAGTGCAGAGGTATTTATTTTGGCTACAATGAGCACAGCACGCAGAGACAAAAAGTGACAGCCCAGAAAACTCTTGGCAGGTAGAAAAGGGAGCTTGCAAATCCAGAGCAGTTTGCATGAACAGATCAGGACACAGAGTGCTTGAGCAAAAAGCAGCTTGCCTCTGAGGGTGGCTTGCTGCCTGTCCTAAGGGAGGAGGGAGAATCTGCTAGCAAGTCTTTCTACTCCAGGATGAGCAAAGACTTCTCAATTCCATAAGATGGAATCAGGGCAGGGCAGAGGAATTTATGAATTTTTTTGCTTATCTCACTGTACCTCACACAGTGAAAACAGCTGCTCTGCTAGGAAACAGGTCTCATGGGTGTGTGAGCACGGCAAAATAGCACATATGCTTTCCTAACTGAATATTTTCACCCTCAGGTTTCAGCGTAGTTACAACAAACAAAACTGACTTAAAGAAAAAAGAAAGGAGTGATCACATTGCAAGACTAATACCACACAGCAGGCAAGAGAGGCCAAGGGGTATTCATGTCCTTCGGGCTGAAATAAAAACAATTTGCATTATTTCCCTCTCAAGTAGATGTTGGTGCCGACAACATATTTTTTTTTCAACTTTTTTTTTCAAAGATCTTGCTGTTTTCATGATATATTCTTTATTATATTCTTGCTCAACCTCTGAAAAAGACTCATAAAATTTGCTTAGCTGTAGTGAAATGTTGCTGATTCTGCTTGTACGTCCTAGTATCACATGAAACTGCGTAACAAATCTGACCAGCAAATACTGCTCTCACCTCAATCAATCTAACAAGTGGGCACAAAGAGCATGTCTGCTCTACAGAAGGTGCCAATTGGAAAAGGATGTTCAAAGGATCCGGGCTACTAAGAAAGAGGGCAATTTTTTTCAGGACACAGCATAATACCCTCGATTCCTGGTGCAGGGACTAGAAGCAACATTCAAATTCTTAGATGTCATTTTTAGGCACCTAAAAAATTCCAGGTGCCTGGTTGCACAAGTACTGGCAAGAGATTTTGAGTTAGTTGATAGATGAAATACTTAAAGGTTTTTATATCATCATGCATGTTCATCAATTACATCAGATGAAAAATGGAACTTCCTATCATTGCTTGAAATATGCTTAATATACTAGAAAAACAGTGACATGTGTTTGTGCAATCTGACTCTATTCATTTTGAAGACTCAAAATTTTAATTACAGAATATACACTGATGTTCCAGGCAGCGTATATGAGGAGACCTGCAGACAGTTCACCGCCAAGCAGCTTGAGTTAGAGGACAAGCGACTACTTTGCTACAAAGAACTATCCTGTGAGTTCCACTGTCAAATACCCACTGCCACTCCGCCACCAGCCACCTTGCCATTGGCAGAAAGCACCATGTCGCACTCTCTCGCTTACCATCTGGGTCTTCTGCGGGCTGGATGCTCATATAAGGTTCACCTTTCTCCATTCGGGATTGCCTTTGTCGGCTTTCCTCCTCCAGCGCGGCTTCAGCCCGGCTTTTTGCATTGATGTAGGCAAGGTAAGCAGGAGAGTTATGGTAGGCCTTCATCGACTCGTTGTATTCTATCTATAATTTGATAAATACAGGGGATTTTTTTTTAACTGTGATCAAGACCATCTCCTATGCCCTTGGGAAATTCTTCTGACTAAAAGATTCTTGCAGTAAACAAGGAAAATTTCACATGAAGCAAGGATTGGACATTGCAGGGCAGCTTACTGAGATTCAATTTCTCTTCTGCAAGGGTCTCACAACCAAAGGCAGGGTAGGGTTGCATCTAAACCCAACCCTTTCCGAGTGCTTCCATATATAATGAACAGCAAAGGGAATACAGGGAAATGTGATGCTGAAAGGAACTGGAAGAGGGGAGTCTCTGCAACTGTGCTTTATTTCCACGTGTCTTTATATTTAGAGTTGGGGACAGAGAGGGAGGGCACGCAACCTTGACTCAGGTTTAACTGCACGATTTTTGTGTGTGGGGACTCTTTCTCAAGCCATCCACGGTATCATGATTCTATCATACTCTCCTTAAAAACTCCTGGGAGATCTGGCCTTGCACAGCAAAGTGTTGATTCAGTTTCTTTCCTCAATAATGTTCTCGTATGTGAGCCCGTTTTATCATCACCTCCTGCAGAACCAGTCTTTTAATTTTTTTTTTATTTTAGCTTTGTGTGTGTGTGACAGAGAAAGACTTCCAGCGCCATTTGGGAGTGAGAGAGGGAGATTTCTTCTTTGTACCTTTTCTGCTTCATATTCATTTAAGTATTCTTGCTTCTCTTCATCAGTGAGGTCTCGCCACATCCCTCCAATGATTTTTCCAATTTCCCATAACTTCAAGTCAGGGTTAGACGCCTTCACTTGGTCCCAGACCTTAATAAAAACATCTGTAGTAAAGCTCCAGCTAACTACTTATAAAATTAAAACACATCTTTGTTAATATCACCAGCATGACTATGGTCCTTTCAGAGAACTATCACCACAAAGCAAGGCAACATTAAGATAGTTATTTTGGCTATGCTATGTCCACTGTTCGATTATTTCTCTGGGAAAACAGAGGTACAATGGTTTATCCACTGCCTGGTTTTATTCTCAGCCGCACAGCATCCTTTTCACAGCATCCTTTCCCTTAAATTCTGCCATGTGTCTTCTCTTTTCTCTTAAGAGAGGCTGCTGGATGAAATAAACGTTTTTTAGAACCAGAGACAAAAAAGCAGATAACACAGTCCTCCTCCTGGCTCAGTCACTCCTTGACACTGGACTGGATCACGCGCTGTCCAGAAGACTTAGGCTCTCATTTTATCAGGAAAAAGTCACTGATTTCTTTTTAAAAAGGGGAAAAAGACGTGTGAAACTATACCCACAATCCCTCTCCCTAAAGTAAAAGGGGAAGAGGACTTAAAAAAAAAAACTTTAAAAAAAGCAAAGTAGATTCTACTGTCACTATTGCAAAGTCCATCTATGGAGCTGCACAAATGCTGCTTTGCCTCTTTAAGTGGGTACTTTTAACACAGAAAATTCTGTCAATAAGTCACCAGATGCATCCTTGTTAGCAGATGAAGTGGTAGTAAGTTTAAATATTTTCTAAATATTCAATTAAAAAGTCTTCATTTCTCCCCCGACAGTATGGTGACCATATTTCATTTTGTGGCGAAACTTATTTTTCCCCTCCACTTGGGTAGTTCACTATAGCCTTCACTGTGGAAGGAGAAGATACCTGCATTCTTAAGTTTTCCCTTAAGGAAAAAAAATAAGCAAAGCACTTAGGTTGGATTTTGAATTCAAGCACTCTTTAGAACAACTATGAAATGGGTTCAGCATAAGCCAGATGTGAAGCACCGCTTAGTGAAATTTTGTACCCACCTTCCTGCTGTACCTCATGTAGGGCATAAGTGGCTTATCTGGAGGCTTTGGGGGCTTGGGGATTGTAATACCCGATGATGCCTAGAGAAGAACCAAATAATATCCACTGGTTATCTTATCTCAAACATCTGAGAAATTTAGAGCACAAGTTTGCAAAGAGACATATACAGGTAAGTAAGACTCAAGTGCAGGTAACATTACTAGCTCTCATGAGAACAGAGTATGTTCTCCAACATTTGTTCAGAGACAGGAGTAATGCAACAGTACCTGGACTTGTAGCTTTCATTAATTTGTCAAGGCAAGGTATTTTGCACAAAACCCAGCAGTTATCTCAACAGTACATGTAGCATCTTGAACATCAGCTTCAAATATCCATTCTCTCTTTCTAATGAGAGCAGCTGTTATGTTTCCTGCACTAACTGAGGCTTCATTCACACCTGCCTTTTAACTCCTGCTTAAACCACAGCAGTAACATCAGTCCCAACAACATCACTTCTGTGGCAGCCAATGCACAGCATCTTGTGGATTTAGCTCCCAATTTCCAATGAATTTCAATCCCAGTTTGGCTGGATCAGAGGCTAATGTGTCTGACAAGGACTGCCTAGGCAATTCCTCTTGCTCTCCCAAGAAGGAAAGTAATAGTTCTGAATCATACTCTTGTGTGTTGCTCCATTTACAATAATTCCTTGAGAGTAGCTGTGATGTATTTCAATGATAGGCACATGGCTTTCCCCTGACCTCTCACTGGGGAAACTCAAGTAGTAGAGCATGGACACATTCTGCAAAAAGTTCAGTGGCAAACTAGCAGTAAATGTCAGGTGTAAATGCAACCTCAGTGCTAAAGAAAAGTGATAGTAACTTTAGGAAGAGGAAAGAGAACAGAACTGAAGTGGTATGGATTTTCTTTCATTCAAGGCCTTCTTAAGTTACACTTATTCCATAAAGACAGACTAAGGTGGGAAGAATCCCAGAATATTTATTGGAACAAGATCTCTGCAAGGCTTGCTCCCTGAACCTGTATATCATATGAGTCCGAATTGTACTGTCCGAGTCCAAATTAGATTGTGAGTTCCTGGAGGGACCTTTGTCTTCCTTAAAGGTTTGTACAAACGCGAAGCACCTTGCCTGCACTCAATAAGAAAGAAAAAGAAAGACACTAAAACAAATATGTGTTATTGACTGGCAGCTGCGCAGTCCCTTTCTCTCTACAAAAAAACCTGGTTTCAAAACACAGCATTTGAATAAATATTCTCCTTTGAGAGATGTGCTGACACTTTATCTGAAATATTTCTAGATTTAGCATTTTCTGTTAAAGCATTGCTGATTTCAGTGGAACTAGCCTAGACTTCCATGTATGTTCTGAAATCAGTGTAATTTCCAAGTAGTGGCTATGATCAACCTTGTGTACACGCATGGGGATTTAGTGCCAACTGTGAGAAACTGACCCCTTGGGAGTACAAAGACCACTCTCCCAAGCTGCTGCTGCTGACAGTGAGAGCGCTTTACTGTGAACAAAGGAATTATCTCACTATATTGTGGTCCTCAACATGTGGTTTCTGACAATAGCAGAAGCTCTGATGTGCAGACAAAACAAAATCTACAAGGTGTTCACATTCAGGAAACAGATCCATGTGTGTATTTCTTCACTTATGGGAAGTGCCTTTTTCCACATACGTTGATGGAACAGCCTTCATGAGCAAAATTCTACTGGCACATTGGAGCACATTTCTTAACACTGTAGTCCCATTCCAGAACAAGGCATACAGACACAGCTTTGAATGGATCTCAGCTTTAGAACATGGTAATTCTCATGGACTGTAATGGGACAATTCCCTAGTTAGAGGTAAAGCATGTATGGTAAGAATGGTTTGCAAAATCAGGAGTCTTGCATTCTAGGAGCATTGGTAATAGATTTTTTTTTAAAGGGAGAAAAAGTTTTCTCCTTGCCATATTTATGAAATGTTATGAACCAATCAATGCATACATCACTTCCATTGAAATATTAAAACATGTTTATGAGGTGTATGCATCAGCAAATGTATACAAATATACACACACAAAGATGGATCTGGAAACATTCAGTGAATCAGTTTAATGCTTATAAATTAATAGGAATTTTTAAAAGATAAACCACACATATTGAAGTATACATGGCAGAGAAAGCTGTAAACACTCATGACATATATACAATGAAAATCTGAGAAACAAACCACCCCCATTTCAGCCTGAATTTGAGTTCAAATTTTTAAAATATTTGGAGATTAATGATTAAGGGAAAATACATCCTGGTTTGACGTTTACAACACAATCCTAGGCACATGTCTATTCAAAAGTAGCCCCACTGACTTCAATGGAACTTACTCCCAGATAAATATATATAGGATTGTGGTCAATGTTCCTGCATGAAAGCTAACCCCTCACCACTGTAGTTTGGTTTCTGTATATCTTGGTTATTTATTTGCAGTTCTCTTTATATTTCCCTACTTTATTTCTTTTGACTTGGCTGTAAAAAAAGAGAAAAGGCTCCCTTCAAAGTTATCAAGTGAGTGCACAATCCTATGCATGTTTAGATCAGAAAAGGTCCTACAACTCCAAGAATTCCTCAGCTGGCCATACTGGAAGATAACAGTTGTAAGACTTTTCCTAGGCTTAGGAGTGTACCCTTAATGTGTGTGAGGGAACCCTGAGGAAAAGGGGTTTAAGTTGCATGTAAGCCATGAATTTACTGGATGGCATTAGGCTGAACAATTATTCTAGCAGTCAATTTATTAAAAGTAGGATACCAGAACTCAAGTCCAATCTTTAGTCACAGGAAAGTGGTAACTGGCTACACTTTTTAAAGGAGTAGACCAGGTTTAGAGGTGCTGAAGAGATGACTTCTGGGTATTTGATGAAAAATTAGGTTTCAGAGCCACTGCTGCTCAAATAAAGCATGGAAATAATATATGTTATGGCACCAATATTGCACCTATATATGCCATAGCTGCCATGAAGAATCAGGCTTAACTCCAACCAAGGTGGCAAAACTGCTGGGCTAAATCACAGCAGACTGCAGTGGAAGCTTAAATGATTCTCCCTTAGTGGCAAAGGAATTTACTACCCATAGAAAATGAGTACGTGAGGGAAAAGGCGAGGGTAAAACCCTTCTTTCTGGCAGGTTTACATTTCACGTGCAAGGAAGTATTTCAGATGGCAGGTCACTTCAGCTCCCTACCTACAGGCCATGGTGGTACAGACCAGACACAATTACCTCTTCTGGGAGAACTAGAATTAAAAAATAGGATGAAAAAGGTGGCAACTTCCTTAGATTCTATTGCAAGCTCATGATCAAGGACAAGTGGGAATGAAAGTTCCATGCTGGTAGGGAAACAGGCCAGCTTACAATTCACCATGTATTTTCCTTCCTCAAAGGTTATCAGGCTAGTGGGTCAGCTATCAGGAGATTATTAAGTGAGTACTGAACACTTAAGGGGCAAGCAGCTAAGAGTAAACTTTCGCAATAGCTATTTAATTCTTTGCCTGATCATCCAGTAAATGTAATAATGCTTCTAATACTTACTATGGTTATCAGTTACTAGTTAATTCCAGAAGAGTAGCCATGTTAGGTATCTTAATACATGCTACTGCAGGGGCATCGGAGCCACTTTCTTCTGGTTTCTTCCCCCATTGCACCTGTAAGGGAGTATGTAGGAACTGCATGAATGGGGCCACTGGTGCATTCTTTCTCATGCATATGTTACCCAGCTGAGGAGACAATAATCCTGGCTATAGCAATTTAAAGGGTTTTATGGAGTACATCTTTCAGGAAAATATTGTTTTGCATTAGATACAAGTGGTTCATGGTGGTGGCAACAGAGGGATCCTATTAAAAGCTGGCAATTGCTTCTTATTCAGATGAGGGAGAAGTTTGCAAATTTTAATCACCTTTAGGAAAGACATGAGAACTTGGAATAAATAGTCTGTCTGAAGGCGACAACAGGAAAATGCTTTAAAAATAATGAAAGCAGACAGGTGGTGCCCTGTCCAATTCCAGAATAATATCGATTTTTACACAACTTCACAAGGAGGAGAAATATGCTACTCTTAGTAAACAACAAACTTGGAGAAGATGTGGGAATTTCCTAGAGTTAAAAAGTTATTTCTCCCTCAAATCTGGAAAAACTGTCTTTAGTTCTAACATTTGCTTCTTTGGTTCATCCCTTCCAATGTGGGTCAGTCTTTGCATTTATATGCCCACCATCTTCTCTTCACTGTTTCATTCATCTGGTGAAGGAGGCCATCACATCAGAAAGATCATGCTCCAATAAGGCAAGTTAGTCTTGAACGTGCCAAAGCATGCCTGACTTCTAAATGAATTGCTCCTGAAGGGCCAATTCAGACATGCATGTATATCACTTGATACTTTATCATTTGGTGACTTGCAACTCGATGTGTGAGCTGCCCCCTTGGAAAACACAATCTGAGGAGACCAGATGTGACATGAAAGCTCTGTCAGCAACATCTGATTTGCAGTAAGTTTAAATATATACTTGACGGCCCAGTCATCAAGTGACATACATGTGAACTTACCCAAAATCTTGTTCCAATTCATAAATCAAAGTCTATTATCTACAACTTAGTTTCTGAACAATGGAAAGAGGAAGGCCAGGGAGAAAGGAAAAGAAACCAAAAGTTATTTTTCATGTTTATATTATATAAAAAGTGGTAGCAGCTAAGATTCAGAAGAACCTAACTCTAAAGCCATTTCTGGTCACTTCCTGTTGTTTGCCGGATGACGTAATAGTTGATTCTCCTACCGTGGCCCGGCTGTTGGTGCCCGGGTTCCCTCCCAGCCTGTAGTTGTTGTAGGCCAGATGGCTGTATGGATTGTATCCCACAAACCCTGGTGTGCTGGGCATTTGCTGATGGAAACAAATGAGACAAAAACACGAATGAGAAATGAGTCCCAACGAGGAGAACACAGAGAAATGAAAATGGTTTGCAATACGGCATGCAAAAGCAACCGGAAGTTTAAACAAGCAAAATGAGGTGTTGCAGCAGCTAGGTCCCTCTTGAGAGGGGCAATTAGCCTGAATGAAACCTGTCAAGAAAACAGAATTTTTCTTTGTAAAATCTTGTCACTGCTTCCAACATGAATGTGGCAATGCTTTATCTCTGACAATTCTAGCTTAAACAGTGTATAATCAATTTCAGCAGAATCTAGTTTGTTAAAAACCTACACAAACCCCTACCAATAATTTGGGGTGGGCAACATATGGGTTGCATCTGGTCCTTGCCAGGCTTCTAAGATCCGCAGCAGCAAATGACTACAGAAGGCTAATATAGAAAAATGTAATTTTTTCCCCATCTACATTTGGCCACTTTAGCTTCCTCCTCTTTGTCGTCGATTTGCTGCATTTGTAGTGTTGCCAAGGCAAGGAAGCAGTAGAAGTGCAGTCTGGAGGGCAAAACCGGTGCTCGGTGCACCCAAAGCTATCAGTACTATTTAGATTGAGTAGTTACTTGTTACTTAGTCACAATTTTTTCTGTGCATAGTAAAATCATGCTCCCCCACCACTCTGAATCACTTTGTTAAAGAGGGGTAAGTTAGCAGCTTTCATCTCAGTTGGCTTCAGAAGGGCACAGAACTACCAAATATAGACACTGACCTCCAAAACCACATCAACTTGGATATACAAACTCTAAGGAACTGTCATCAAATTATCTTAGAACCAGCCAAAAATGTTTAGAGACCTGTCCTTACACAAAACTGAAAACCATTTCAAATTCCTTGACATCAGCATTAGAGAACCAGTGCGGTATATTTTTATTTTATTTATTAAAACATTTTTATGCCGCCCCATTCGCCGAAGCCTCGGGGCGGCTTACAACAATATTGGTCAAAGTGTTGGTCTTAGGATGAGGAGTCACTGTCTTGAATCTCTGACTGATGGGATTCACTGGCTGCATTCAGACAATCGTATCTTCTCTCAGTGAATAGCACTATACAGAATTATTTTGCATGTGCCCAAACTCCCCTCAAGTGAGTCTTGATTAAATCAGGAAGCTTCTAATTAACCACAGATTCTTGATTTGGATGAAACTGAAACTATAATTACTTAGAAGCTTCCTGGTTTAATTGCCACTTGCTCAAATGGGCTCCATGCACAAGCAATGGGATATTGTTTGACTGTGAGTCAGTCCCTCTCTTTCAGCTTAATGCACCTCACAGGATTGCTGTGAGGCTAAAAGGGTAGGGCAAAAATATAATGCACACATAAGTAAAAATTCTGATCACCCAAGTCACCACATATCATGCAAATCTTACTTGTAAGTAAGAAGCAATATATATTTATCATCTATGCTTTTCTGAAGGTTGGTAACAATGTTACGGCATGACGCAGTATTAGAAGATGTCACTGCCCTTCAAAAGGTTCAGAATCAGAACAAGAAAATATTATTCCCCTTCCACCTATGATACAACTGTCCCCCATATCTTCCTTTCCTCCAACATACAGCACAAAACTATAATCCCCAGGGTTTCTTGGGATAGTAAAGGCATGACAATTGTCAAATTAAAGTTCTGACATTTTTTACAGAGGGATCAACTGCAAAAAATATGGGTACTATAAACTAAATTCTAACATTTATATCTGGATCTTTCATCGCCTCTAGTATGACATGGACTAAAGGTCAAGACCTTTCCCACAATATGCACATTTGACTAAAGCAAGCAGTATCATAAAATGTGTACATGATGAGACAGCTGCTTCTGCTATATTGACCCTGATGGGTCAAGGAGATCAGGGAACCTTAGCAGTTCTCTGTAGTTCAAGCTGTACAAGCCACTATGCAACAAGCCACTATGAAAGATTTATTTCTAAACCTGACTAGTCAGGTATCCCATGGCCAACCCAACTAGACCCTGGCAACCCCCTTAGTAATCAGTAATTTCAGGACAAGACTGTAGCTGTCCTTTTGCTTGCTTTGAACCTTCCTTCCAACCTTCCGCTGCTCTCTGCTCCTTCATTTGGATGCCTGAGTCCCTTGAATACGCCAGCCAGTTATGAGACTGACTCCTTTTGAACCTGGCACAAGTTCAGCATGTGGTAAACTTGTCCTCCTGACTCTGCCCATCACCAGAAATGTTCTTAGGCTTCCTTCCCTTCTTCACCATAATCACCTATTTTGTAGGCCACATATTTCCCCTGGAAACTCTATTCTGTGAGACTTTGGATGCATGTCCTATCTTAATACTCTGAATTTCTCTTATTCTGGGCAACTTTCTACTACCTACTAAACATATGCAACATCTTCACTGTTAAAGCTTTACACTTCAATCTTTACTCTCTTTCTTTGTTTTGTCCCTAAAATTTGTCTGTTCCCCAATTCCTGCTTTGGTACCCTTCTGAGGTTGCTTTGTCAACCATGGAAAACAGTTGGTGTGGTTCTTTTTGTGCTGGCTGTGAGGAGGCAGGGGATTAGATTCCAAGCTCTGTAGTTTTAGTGCTGTCTTTGAACTATCCTATGGTCTGACAGCTGAGATTTAGGGGCCACAGGGTTGTTTCCAATATTTAGGGGCCATTGGATGGATCCATAGCTATTGCCAAAAAGCACATTTTAGAAACATACATGCAAAAGTACAGGTTTTCAGAACCAGACAAATATTATAAAACCACTTTGGGAATAAGCCAATAACAGGAAGTGTGCATATTCATTCAGTATCTCTTTAAAATGGTGGCTTAATGGCAGAATCATTGCCTCATAGGCACAAAAATAGAAAAATATCAACAATATGCCTTTGCTGAAATAAAAATAATTCTGAACATGTTCATTTTGGGTATTACATAAGTGAAGCCGGCTGGAGCCTGGGGCCAGACTACATGGCCCAGGAGGTCCCTTCTGCCTTTCTATGTGTCTATGGTTTAGTGGCCTAAGCCAGCATATGAAATGTTTGTGAAATATAAGTGCTTTGCAATTCTGAAACATAGAAAGTTTTAGAAACACAAGTTACAGGGAAGGAGCTGTTATGTTTGGGGGGATTACTGGAGGAAAAGTTTTATTCGCTTGTGTGAAACTCAGCTCTCTACAATGCAACAGACCAAGAGTTGGTTTGGTTGCAAGTGACCGAAGCTCAAATTCCCTCCCAGCCAAGAACACATTGTAGGACCCCAGTCAAGTTATTTTCTCAAGCTGAGCTATATTATGGAATTGGTTAGCTAGCTAAAATGCTGCTGTCAGTTGTTGGAAGAAGGGTAAGCTATAAATGGATCATTCCAACAAGTAATAATTAAGGAATAAAGGAAAAAACTGAAAAAGGTAACCCTCCATATAACAAGTAGTAGCTTTTGAGTACTGGCCTGTAAAATATCCGATGCTCACCTCAACCTTCTCATAAATGGAGGTAGTATACACATTTATATATTAAATATACTCATTAATAAAAGACTGTCAAAAGTATTTGGCCCTTTGTGAAATCCAATGCAGCCCATGGCATCCATACCACTTTCCACACAATACAAGTATTTTCAAGAACAGAAAGACAGTCTTCAGTCTTCATAGACCAAAGAAACTGCCTTGGTAGCAGTTATTATTTTGTACCATGCTATCAGCCTTTCACTTTCTCATGTGCAGTGATGAGCACAGTGTAAAGCATAATATGCTAGAATCTGCAAGCCAAGGTTACTGATCAGGAACCACAGATTTCATTCCTTTCTGTGTGTGTACGTGTGTTCGTCCCCCCCACCCCCACACTTTGCTTCTCATTATCTTTGTATGTTCTGGTTCTTTTTGAGAATATATAGGCTACTCATCAAAAACACAAACAAACAAAAACTTGCATGTAAGTATCCCAGTTCACTGTGCATTTGCTACCCGAGGGTTTCTCAGACAGACATCTGAAACAGCTTGCTGGGATCCTTATGAATAAGCTGTTCACAGGTTCCGAAACCTATGGCCACCGAACCAGCTGTAATGGTGAAGGTGGATGAACATCAGGAACATGTGTTGGAGGGATTAATGCTCATCAAATGGAGAAGGAATTAATATCATCTGGTTAAAAAAGGTGGGTGATACACACTGCTGTTTAACAACTTTATTAAACACCTGGGAGCAAACTTGAGCACACATGGTAGATGGTAGAAGCTTCTCTTACCATCGGCTAGAAAGTACAGCTATAGGCAACAGTGACCATACATAAAGATAAAGTCAGAATCTAAGGAATAAGACCGAGAGAAATTCTAGTCTTGCTCAGAAAAATATTAAACTATGTTTTATCAAGGAAAAAAACAGCAAAGTTATGGAAATGAACAACCGTGGAATACTGTATACCCTCTTTCCACTGTAGTTCCATCTTGCCAACCCTGATCTGAGGCTTGTGGGAGTGAACTGTCTGCCATTGTATAAAAACCAGCAAAGCTGTGGATCATATCATAGTCTACTATCCTGGTTTGCAGAGCAAAGGCAAAGCATCATCTGCTGGTTTGGACAAAATGACAGACTGTGGCTTCTTTCCTTGATCTGTGTCAGAAGCAGAAGTAGCATGCAGGAAAGGAGCTTTTATGATGTCCCATTATGTCTGAATCACCCACTGTTTTATCAGCTAGCTACCAGTTTGTGTGGTTGTTGCTATGCTCCCTATGCGAGTAGCAAATTTCATGTCTAATATAAACATGCACTCAGAAACAATCAATAAAAGTAAAATTATTAACACCCAACCTTCTAGTTTGGTTACAGCCCACCTAAAATGAAAATCCTGAAGATATTTCAGTATCTCCCCACAAAAAGACAGCTTTACAATTGACTTGCAATAACTGGGAGTGTCTGTGTAGGTGCCCATGCAAAACTATATAAAACTCTCACATATTCTCAATGTTAGAAAGCATGATATATCACAAGATGGTAAATGTTCAAGCATTAGTTCACATAGTTATGTTTTCTTTAGCTATTCATGCTATGCAAAAATCAATTCATTTATTTCATGTGTAATACTTATTTATATCTATATCCTATTCTTCAACAGACTTCTCAGGGCAGCTAACAATCAAGTGTATTGTCAACAGTACAAAACACAGCATATCTAAAATACAAGATTTAAAAAATGTTGTTGTGGTTAGTTGCAAAGTCGTGCCTGACCCATCACAACCCCAAGGACAACATTCCTCCAGGCTCTCCTGTCCTCCACCATCCCTTGGCGTTCACCCAAGCTCACACCCACTGCCCCTGTGACTCCATCTAGCCACCTCATCCTCTGCTGTCCCCTTCTCTTTTTGCCATCAATTGTTCCCAGATTTTAAAAAAATAAACCAACATAAAACTGTAAAAGCAGCTTAAAATCCCACTGCTGGCACATTTTGCTATAGGACTAGATTAGGAACTATATGGGACAGAAAACTGACATTGTCAAAGTCCAGAAGAGCAACCCATAAAATTTTGTATGGCTCATATTGTTAGATCATTAACTAGTTATGAGCAAGTGAAATTTATCTCACCAGTCCGCAAATGATTTTATTGGCTGCTGGTCCACTGAGCACATTTAAAAATGGTTCTAGTAATCTTTAAAGCCCTATAATGTTTGGGATTTGATGGGTGTAAATCATTTGCTTCTACATGGACCTCCCTGTATGTTTAGATCCTATGCAGAAGTGCGTCCAAGAGCTTAAGTAGGTAGTGATAAGAGGGAGGTGTCAAAATGGACAGAGAGAATGTACTCTGCAACTGTTCATCTTTGCACACCCCCACAGAAGTCTGCCTAGTGTTGAACGTCATGCCCTTGGGCACCAGGAGAATGTTTTATAGGCCAAGTATTTCAAACTATGTTTTGGATTTGCTTTAATGCTGATGTGCTTTTGTGAATCAACTGTTTTAATTACACTGTACACTGCCCAGACATTCTGATGACATTCTGTGTTTTCAGCACTTCCAGTTTTTAAAGTCTTTCTTTAATTATCACTTGTGAGCCATTCTAGAAAATGAAATACGACGGAAACGTATTTGCATAGGGTTACTTAGGTATTCTGTGGGTGGCACAAAATTATTAGTGAAAATAGTTTACCTTCTGAAATTATGAAATATTAGTCTCCGCACATTCACAAAATTTCATCTCCCATGGAAGCAGAATTTGGAACATTGAGAGATCTCAAAGGACAGGGAGTTATACTCCTTATAGGGACCCAAGTGGTAAAATTTATTTGATGAACATGAGCTCTAAAGAAAACAGTGGAATTTCCTTCTATGTAAACGTTGCAGGAACAGAATGTTGGGACAGCAGGATAAAACAATATTAGACAGTGGGGGTTCTATCTCTTATCCAAAGAGCCATAGAGTTCTTTGAGCCTGGAGCCAACAGATTGGTAAGTTTTTTTAAACTGATATAGCCCAAGTAAGAAGGCTGTCAGTAGAAGGGTATTATTTGTAATGTAGCGATCATTAGATCATATTATCCCAAAATAATGGGGAATCTTTAGAAGAAAGGCAATACAGTCATAGATTAATAAAAACAAATAAAAAATATAGCACTGACATAGGGAAAGGAGAAGGGATTCAATCCACCCTTCTTTTCAGTATTCCAAATTCTGGACACTTCCCAGCTCTGGAATTCTCCGAAGATTCACAAAAATTAAGGCAATTAAATATTTTTCCCTTGGACAAGAATCTACTGATCAGAGAAAATGCAAGAGTATAAAATGGACACTCTTTCAGTATTTATTTCAGTGTTTTTAAACTATAGTTCTATAAATGTAGGTGCTTTATCCAGATGAGTTCATATGTATATATGAACCCGAAGGGCTGCAAATATATAAATTACTGCTCTTGGACAGTCCAGTAAGTGTGTAAGTTGCAGCTCAACTCTGCAAATAGGCCCTGGAAGCACCTTGGATCCAAATGTTCGCAAGCAGTGGAATCTATAGACCTAGACTGAATCCTAACCTTCTGCTCTTTGGAAGACTTTTTTTTAAAACAAGTTTGCTTTAGTCACTGTATATATCAAATGCATTCCTAATATTTTTGCTCAGAAAGTAATTCTACAACCATTATTCAAAACTCAGTTGTCAGTTTCAATATGGAAATAAAACCATATATCATTTGGACCAGCACTTTTGCTTCTCCCTCTTTTGGAATAAATTCAACATAAAATTATTAGAACATGAAAATTTGCAAACACCTATTATTATAAACACACAACTTGCATTTTCTCTGATTTTCAAGAAAGTGGAGTTTTCAGCAAGATTATTTGGAGGGATAACAATAACTTAAGCTAAAGATGCAGTCCCAGCAAGCAACAAAAATGCATTTTTTTCAAGTTAAGCCAAATGGTATACCAAAAAGGCTCAAATTATACTTTAGGCGATAGTGCATATATTCTGTACATGTTAGACCTCAGTTCTAATTCTTGAAAATGACATTTAAGAGAACTCCAGAAGTAAGGCTGCCAAAGACCTGTGCAGTATGGATTTGAATCAGAGTTTAACCATATTCAGAGAGCAGAACTGCTGGTCTGATTCTTTATACCCTTTCTGTGGGAATAAGATGAAGACAGACTTCAGAGTCTGAGAAGAGAAATACATCCATACTTACGGTTGTGGGGGCTGGGGTGGGAGGGGGGGCATAAGACGGCCTTTCTGTTTCAAAAAGAAAGGGAAAAAAGAATGACTATGTAAAGGAGGTGGAACATAGAGACTGTAATGAAAGTTTTTGAATAGCAAATCAAAATGTGAATGGTGGAGCAAAAAAAGAAAGGAAGAAAGAGGAAAGGCTGTAAGTTTAGAAAACACTTGAAACACTATTACAGGAATGCCCAAGTTGTGGTTTGTGAGTGCAGTTCCTAAGAAGTTGAGGACATTAACAGAACAAGCAAGCCCAAATAATTTAACAGTTAACAGATTGACTCTTTGTACATCCCTTCACCTTAATTAAGCATGAAGACTGATGGCTGATACAGTTCTCTCCTGTGACTATACCCCTTGTATTTTGTATGTATATTACTTATTTGCAAGTTCCCCAGTGTCGAAATGTGTGTGTGTGTGAGAGAGAGAGAGCAAGAAAGCGAGAGCGTGCAAGTGAGCAAGTGCAAGCAGTGTCAGGAGTCTTTTTACTGTGCAAGCAGTGTCAGGAGAGTGTAAGACAGCACAATCAGAGTGACTGCAGTTGTGGTCAGTGGTACAAGCAACAAGAGCTGCAGGGTTCTGATGCAGGAAATCCTCACCCGTAACCCCATTATAGGGATAGCAGACCAAGGAAAAATAGCAGTAAAAAGGGTATAGAGAAAGGAATGGAAACAGTATTTGCGGAACAGTGTGTCTTCTTCTTGGTCACCTTGAACCACTTTGCATGACAGAACATCCCACTGTGGGTTAGTTCAACCTCAAGGAAGTATGGCATGTGCTAGCTGCCATTATGAATAAGCAATTCCCAGACAGAGGCTGTTGTGGATTCTTATGCCGGCCAAGGTTATTTGAGGGTTAAGCCACCCTTGTATAATCTTAAATTGGACAATCCTCAGATGACCCCACTAGCAGGGACTGGATGAAGGGTGCAAATTCATAATGGTGGCTGGCATGCACTACAGCACCTCATGGATAAACTAATCCATCACGGGCTGTCATGTTTTACAAACCAGATCACTTAATTTGATCCAGAGATAAGGCAAAAGGGAAGCTTTCATAGTGTATAAGGTTCTCTGAAGGGCCATATCTAGCCCATGGACCAGAGGTACCTTGATTTAGAAAGTGCAGCCATCATCAGCACTGAGCAATGGAATGAAATAATTTGGATATGATATACTAAACAAAAAAACTTCTGCTAAACTTACTTGACATTTTGGTAGTTCAACCAGATGACATTAGATCTGAAAAATATTAATAGAACAAAATTGTAAAACATGTTCTCTTTTGACACATGCATAAAAATTATCCCAACACACTCCACTAATGACATCAATAACTAAAGTCCATAACTGAGAGAGTGGCCATCAGCCAAACACAAAACAAGATTGTGTAATTCCCTAGTATTACTAATGTCAGTACGGACACACCCCTCATATATCGATCCTCACTAATAGCAGAAAGTGGGGACTATTTGAAACCAAGTACTTCCAGTGGTGAGGAAATAATTCTGAAAGCATTCCCTTTCCCCTCCATTATTCCGGCACAGGGAAATACATAGTGTAAAGGAGAAGCAAAATCACATTATAAACTGACTAAAGATACTTAGCTTTACCTGAATTCATCTTACTGTGATGCAGAAAAAGCAGTAATGATCAAGCTCTGCTTGTAATACAAGGAGCAAATCCCTCACCTCTGGTAACACATGAACAACTATGGTCATGCAAGTGCTTTCTTAAACACCTCACAGCCTGATTTAGACTACAATCCTATGCAGGGATAGACAGGTATAAAAGGCTTAAAACATTCTCTAGCCAACCATGCTGGGAGATGGCTATTTTTTGCCTAAAGATACATATAATAACATCCTCAAACATTTTGGAAAGTATGTAGCATAGCTCTCCCATTACAACCCAAACCCCATTTTTTTCAACTTGCTAGCTAGCTGGTAATTAATAAGGAGCATTTAAATTAGGAGAGCATTTAAGGTTCTGTTCCATTCATGCTTTCTGAGACTTGAGTTTCACATCTTCTCTCTCCACTTGCCAGCTGGACTCTACTATGAATTAATTTCTCTCAGATCAAATAGTAGCTCTAGAACATATTGCCCACTTCTGTTCTACTGTGCAGTTGTCTGCAGAGGGACCATCCAGACCTTGTGCATAGAACAGGAATAGATAATGTGCAGCTCCCAAAAGTGTAAAAGTTATTTTTAATGGAATTACATCCAGAGTATGCATTTAAAAATTTTTTTTGCCCCTTTTAGTACTTGTTAGCTATTACAGAGGAACAAAAAGGGTCAATATTTGCTTGAAAACAAGCAGCTGCTCCCAATGCCATTTTTAATTGGAGGGTTTTGGCACCATGGGGGCATAAATGGCAAAAAAGGTATCTGGTCTTCTCAAAGTTAATTACTTGAAGATCAATCAACTCCAGTTAAAATGAGTCAGGTAGCAGATGACAGGAAAGACCTATGCCTGAGACCTTAGAGAGCCATTGTCAGCCAGAGTACCCAATAAAGGGCTAGACAGATGTACAAGTAGTATGACCAATATTGAACTAGATGTAAATAGTATAAGGAAGTTTCCTATGTTATTAGCCTGAGTCATCTAGTGCCATTGTATAGTAGATACTTCTAATGTGATGTACTTTTCTATTAGCCTCTGCTGGTAGTGCACAGGGATTACACTGGGGTCTGCTTTAAGTGGAATTATGAAAAATTATTTATATTTTATTATTTTTGCAGGGAGCCCTTTGATACCATCCCCCATATACTAGATGAGAAACATATTGCCCATCAATAATATACATCCTCATCCTTTTTGACCTTCAGAGAGCACCATCATGTATTAAAATCCAGGAAAACTCTCTTTCACTAAAACAAAGCACATATCCCACACTTGTTTCGAAGGGAAATGCTTTTTCCTCACTTCCCAACATTAGTGGCAATTCCATAACAGTGGGGGGCATAGCAGGGGAAAAATGGCTCCCAATAGCACGAACATTGCCCATCCCACCTTCCTGCAACTAAGTCTAAGCTTGTGATCCTAAAAATTAAGTAGGACAGTAAAGTTCCATAAAATTATGGATTTACCCTGAAAAAATGCTTAGTGTTGTGCAGCAAATAGGTTTAAATGAAATCATTATTATCCCTGTTTACTATTTCCCTCTCTCCTCTATTGTCTACAGTGTTTGATATACAGATTATAAACACCAAATGTCTAAAAATGCCCCCCTTCACTTCTTAAATTCACAGGCACTTCTACAGCACTAAACAAAAGCAAAATTTACAAAGTTGCAATAACTGGATGTTGCTTCTTTGTAGCTGGGCTGGGACAGGACCCGATGCATTTCTGTGCAATATAACTTTGGGGGGGGGGGCCGGGGGGGAGTATGCTTTTACTCTTCCCCCGCTAGCAGTTGAAACCCTAGCCTGTTTGAGTTGCTGATGTAATATGGCTATGTCTGTAGCACCCAAATAATAGATTAGAACGTTCACCAAATATTTCAAGCATTCTCTCCCCCTCCCCCTGTAATCCTTATAACTTTTAAGATTATAATCATGATACTGTGGATGAAGGAACTGGAACCTATGAGAATACCAGCATGCCTACAAGCAGCTACCAAATGTACGAGAGAAGTATGATCTGAAGCAATCAACATAAGATGGGTTTTGAATTTTCTAAAATGATTTACTTGTGATATCTAGGCATAGCTATCCAGAAATAAGGCCCATTAAGTTGAATGCAGCTTATTCCGTGGTTAAGTGTGCAAAGGATTGAAACTTTAAGGCACAATCATGTGCATACTTGGGCAGGGAAAAGTCATACAACTCCCAGCTTTCCCCAGCTGGTTGGAAAATGCTAGAAGTTATTTAGATAGGGAAAACAGGAGTCCTACATGTGACCATAATTTATTTTTCTTGTTGTTGAAAATACAACCTAATACTGCAAATTATTTCCCAGTCTATGGCAGAAAACATCTGAATTAAAAAGTATTGCCAGATTGGATAATTAATTTTATCAGATTTTTCTAAATAGTGGAGCTCGGAGACGAGGGACTGGCAGATCTGTGCTTGCGCCAGGGGCTCATCGCCGCCACTGCGGCGGGCGAGAGGCAGCCCAGAAGACGAGCCTTCTTCACACCCTCCTCTAGGTAGGAAGCCCCACCTCCGCAGCGGCCACGGGAGGAGAGGCTGTGCGGTTCCTAAGAAAGAAGGAGGTCTCTCCGCAGCTACATCCGGACCGGGCCCGGCAAACTCACCAGTTCCAAAAGGGCCTCAGGCCTCGCTTCTTTGTTTCCGACCCGAAACAAACGGCGACGGCAGGAATGGTGGGCAGGGAGAGGAAGACGAAGAGGCTGCCGTAGCTTCCGTTTCCGTTTCAATACTTTCCACAGAAACTTTCCTCTCTTGCTCAAAATAGAAACGAACAAAATTCCTCAACCCTGCCACGGCTTCTCCGAATAAATAAGTCCCCCATTTTGGTTGAAGATATTCTTCCTAGTCTTCTTCCTTACTTACAAAAGAAACTGCCCTTAGGCAGTAGCGAAACAGTGAATCCGTTTTAAAATTACATTTACCGTAACCGTAAACTTGAAGCGGGTGGGGTTAGGTCACGTGAGGACGAAATGACGTTTTCCAGAAAAGCGTGTGCAGGTGGGCGGGTGGTATTTTCAAAAGGGATAAACCATTGACTTCAGGGTGGCTAAGCTGGCAAATTTACAGTGAATCAACCAAGAGAAAAGTGGATGCCCGAGGATCATATTCTAGTTTTCAGTGTCTTGGCATTATTACACTCGCAAGGAACTCAAGCGCTTCTCCTTTCCATTTTATCCTCACAGCAACCATGACCGGTCCAAAGGGCCCCCTGGGTTTCAGGGCTGAATGTGGACCAGAACCCTGATGAACTGAGTCCCTGACCCACACTCTTAACCAGTACACCTCAGAGGCTCTGTTTTATTTCCTGCTAATACAGGTGTCTGAGCTGTAAAGATACGTTTGTTTTAAAAATATTAGTGTTTACCTGAACCTTTGAGAACAGCTCAGTTACAAAAAAATAAAAATAAAAAATCAGATTTTAGATGAAAAGCAATGTTAACAGGAAATTTTCCAGACATCTTTTTTTGCAAACATACACTGTCTGGAGAAACAGCCAACTGTCAAGTCATCTCAAAGGTGTTTTCTTCCTCTGCTACACAATAAAATAACTATATATTCTATTGAAGGGTAACACTGAATACTTTGAAGTCAGATTAGAAGAGTCTTAAATCTATCAGATTAAGTATTATGTCAGTTAAGGTGTGCCATTTTCTTGTGGGCAGGTTTGTATTGTGTGTATTTAGATGAAAAAAGTCTATCAACATTCTTTTGGCATGTTTGAATAGAGAAAAAGGGGATTGCAAAATTAGATGAGATTTATATGGCTTAACAAAATATTTAATTTTAATAAGGGATTTGTGTAGTCATTGGTCTTGAATGTTAGCTATTTGTTTGGTTTGCCAAATCTGTTTTTACACAGCTCAGTGAACAGAAATGTTTTTGCTTTTATCAAAGTGTTGCTTTTCTTTTTGTAATTTTGTTATTATCAATGCTACTTTCAGTTAAGGAAAAGGTTGTTATTCTTTGAGATAAAAAAGTAACAATTGTAGTTGGCAGTGACCGCATAGACAAGGTTGCCTTATTACATGTGTGACAGAACTTCTGGAACTTTGGAGGGTGGAGTTTTCGGTGGTAATAATTTTGATTGTCCAGTAATTATATGCTCCGTCTTAAGCAAATATTTTTGGACCTACTAGGCAATCAGTGAATAGAAGGGTCTTGGCAAAACCAAAGACAGAAATTAACATGTTGTTGTTGTTGTTTTAAGTATGAGACATTGTTTGCTACCTTTATTTATGAACCTTACTGGGGAGGCAGTTGTGTCTCATGAACAAACTCAAGGAATTTCCTTGTGCTAATTAGCAATTCATCTACACACTAACACTTTATGAATGAACTCACAGTGTCTTATTGATCTCTGCTGGACAGTTCTGTGCAATGCTAGGATGACCCCTTTGAACCCAGAGAATATTACTATGCTGTGGCTTTTGATTCCCCCCACCCCCGCCCCCATTGATCACAAAGCTACATAGAGGTTTGGTGATCTCTGTATCAATATCTTCCAAGACACATCATGTATTCACTTATGGCTTTACCTAGCAACTAACCTTACTGAAGGGTTGTTTTCTCCCTGATGTTTTCTAACCCTTGGATTATCAAACTGAGTGGCCAGCTCTTGGACGCAACTATTTTTTCCTACTTCTGTATCTATCAGGTTAAACAGGCCTAAAAAGAGCAGCTGTTAAGTAGGCCTAGTAGATGAATGTTGTTGGCAGCCTGAACAAATACCTCTTCATGCTCTGAAATAAGTCAGCATTTCTTGATATGATAAAACAATCACATTCTCTTGGGCTAAGTGGAAGTGGTTAGAAGTTCAAGTTTTGGTAATTTGGTTCTTATCTGTCTAACTAATATAAGAAGATGCTATTTGGTGACTATTGCTTTACTCCTTGGTGTTTATTTTGCAGGGTTACAACTATCCAACCTTTTTAAATATGTGATTATGGTGAGCAATATCTGTTATGTGGAAGATAGTACAGTGGTAACATGGCTCATGAATTCAATCCATTCCAGGACTCTGGTCGTGATGCAAATTGGTTGTGAGCCAAGTTAAATTTCCCCATAAGGTTCAATGTAAATAAGGTTAATCCATTCTGTAACCATTTTTTTTTAATCAGAAAAATGTGAAGCAAAGTGACAAAGAACAACAAAGATCGTGGCCATTTCCCCCCCACCACCACCCTGAACACAAGTGTGGCCATCTCCCTGCCCCCCTGCCCCCCCAGCACGACCGAGATCATGCCCATCATCCCAGCGCGCTGGAGCGGGGGAGACAGGCATGAATGGGGAGCACTGGGGGAGGGAGAGACAGGCATGATCACGGCCATCTCTCCACGCCCCTGAGTGGGGAGATGACTGTGATCGTGCTGAAGGCAGGGGGGAGATGGCCGAGATTGCACCCATCTTTCCTGCAGGAACGCCCCCGTGATCATGCATGTCTTCCCTGCATGAATGCAACTGCGATCTTGGCCATCTCCCTGCTCGGGGAGGGGGGAATGGTCACAATCACGCTGGTTGGCGGAATGGGGGGGATGGCCGGGATTGCGCCCATCTTTCCTTCAGGAGTGTGCCTGTGATCACGCACGTCTTCCCTGCATGAACACAAGTACGATCGTGGCCATCTCCCCACTGGGGGTGGGGAGATGGCTGCGATCTTGGTCGCCACCCAATGCAGAGTTTGCGACCCAAGTCAATATTTTCACGAAATTTTTGTTCGCGACCTGATTCGGTTGTGAACTGAGGCGTTCGCGAGCCGAGGCACCACTGTATCTGATTAGTATGCTGATTATACCTGACCTCATGCTTCATTTAAATCAGATACTCCAACAAGTGCCTTTATAGGGGAATGAGGGTCAGTAAGTTAAACCTTTACAGGAGAGAGTTTATTATTTGACTCGCAAAGGTACTCATGACTGTCTTGTAACAGTTTTGACTGTAAATTTATGTATTTAGAGTATTTGTATGCCATTCTTTTGCATAGCCTCAGGACGGCTTACATAAATAAGAATAAAACAGAATACAAATAAAATCCAGATCCACCCTGGCTGCAGATTAAAACCTATATAGCTAATGTTAAACGATTAAAATGTTGTTGAAAGAAAAAGGTCTTTAAATAAAAATTGGCTGTGATCTTGCATCTGGGGTTCATGGATTGGTTACATCCCGTCTAGATTACCATAATATGCTTTACATGGGAAAAGGGTTCAGGAGCTTCAACTGATTAATTTTCTGGCTGGGCTGTGAAGGATCAGTCATAAGATGTCACTCATAGTGCAGTTATATTGTTTGCTCAATCCAAAGTGCTGGTTTTCACCTTCACAGTGCTAAATAGTCTGGGTTCTGAACAGCATTCTTAACACCTTCTCCAGTGTGTGCCTTATTCTTTAATACCATTTGAGAAAAGCTGCCCCTATTTTTATAGGGTGGTCGTGTGTGTTCTCTTTCACAGAGAATGATTTGAAGGGCTACCACATTCTCTCTTTGAATGTGTTTTTCATTTGAAGGGCTGACCTGTCCAATTCCAGTTTAAAGATAATGAATCATAAGAACTGTTGGCCATCAGCTGTTGCCCAAACAGGCACACAGGCCATCATCTTCCACATGTGATAAGATGTACTGTATCTCTAGTTCAACCATAAAATAGTAATTTTAAAGTTTGTATCTCTATATAAACTAGTATATGTGATTCTTATGCAAATCTGCTTCCTTTTTATTTTTTGGAGACTTATAATTATGATTAGGTGTGGAGCAAAGACTTTTCCACTGCAGTATAAGCTGTGTGGAACTTTGTTCTGCAGGCAATACTTGCTGGATACTGTATTGGGTGTAATTTTGTTTTTTGTCATACCACTTAGCTTTTAGAGCTATTTTTGGGGCGGAGGGGCAGGCAGGTAATCTTATCAGTTTCCCTGCATGCTGAACTGCAGGAAAATTGACTAAATAATTGAAGAAATCACAGACATTTGACAAATTCTTCTCTGATTGCTGACAATCACATATGAATACCTCTCTCATTGCTGTATTGAGAAGATTCACAGGACATAATGGTAATATTAGCCAGACTCAATTTTATTATTTGCATACAGTGGTGTCATTTACTTTGGTAAATTCATATCCCCATGGTTTTTAATGTTCAACATTAGTTTTTAATTTTGAAATTAAATGTTGTAAAAAGTACAAATTAAGTTCCAACAAAAAAGGGAAAAGGTGCAGAGTAATTAGGCAGTTTTACATTCAGAATGCCATGTAATCAAAAATTAACAATGCTAGATCAGTTTATTGATCAAATGTTAACAGGAGACATACTATTTCAGGTTATAGAACAAGAACCTGCAGTAGAAATGCTTCATTTGCATGTTGTTAAAAGTTGGAAGTTCATGAATTTCAGCAAGGCATTTGCTGTGTCTTTTTTCCTGTAATGCATGCCATATGTAATAAGGCAACCATTGATACCTTAGCAAAATTATTACATGCGACTGAAGACCTAAATAAACATTGAACCTGATTCTCCAAGATATACAGACAACATGTAGTGCCCTCTAATTTAAAAGTATATCCACAAAGAAAGCACAATAATTTAATTATAAGTTCATTTTAAAAAGCCAAATACCTGTTTTCACATTTAGTTTATAGTATTTTAAAAACAAGAATTTTACTGTCTGCAGCATAGAAAGAAAGACATGCAATCCCATCTAAAATGGTTAGATGGTGACTTGAGTTTCCAAGGTGGTAGAAACAGATGATGTATCTGTGCTGTGGAAACAAAATCCAGTGAATCTTTGGGATGTTTGGTATGAACACAGAAGGTGGTGAGTTTGAATTATGCTTCTCTCCACTGTTTCCCATGACCTTACCTTTTCAAGAAAAGTCATGCTGTCCTAGATTAGGGAATAAAACATTCTGTCTTCCTGTGTATAAGGCAAATGTCACAAAAAGTGTCTAAATCCAGCGCCCAAAGAATCATTTTAGGCATAGAAAAAAGCTAACCCATTCAGATTTTTTTCTTCTTAACTATTGAAAAGCAGCCCCCCACGCCTTGCCACAGATAGCTTTTGAAACTCATTTCTGTTTCAGTAGTACTTTACCATACAATTTGAAAAAGTATTGGTCAAACTGTTGGACGTGCTAAGTAGTTGTGCCATTCTTTGGAACTTTGGCTATAGATAACTTCGATCTTTGGTATTCCAGACTAAAGATTCAGATAACCTGTCATTCTATTCATTGTATAAACAGAAGGTATAACAGACACTTTTCACCAGTGGGGAAAAATGATTTTGCTTTTCTAGTATCCATTTGGACCAAGGGTACTTTTGCAAACAGACTGTTAGGAATACCATTTGGTTTGGGATGCCTCACCTCCAGAAGTGAATTTTGCATCAAAAATAGGAGAAAATTGGATTGCTAACACATGAAAATTCTGTAAGTGCAGCTTTTGAAGGAAGACATGAACTCATGGCCCCTTAATGGCTAATTATAGCACACATTATTATAGGTGATAATCAGGCAACAGGTTAGACTGTTAAAAAGCCATAGCTTTTGTAATGTTTTTTGCTTGTAATTGTGCGATAGCTGAATTGGCATGATGGAGCACAAATGTAAAAATATTTTACTTCTCCCTGGTTGGCTTATTATGAGAAGATGCTCTACATGTAAGACTTGAGCATGATTTTGGCTTCAGTTTGTAGCCCTTTTTAGCTTCATTTGATCAGCTGTAGATCCAGTTGATATGATCATATGGCAGACTTCCCTAACTTGGTGCCTTCCAGATGTTTTGGACTACAATTCCTAGCATTCTGGATCCTTGGCCATGCTGACCGATGGGAGTGGAGGTCCTAACATCTTGAAAGGATTAGGTTTTGAAATGGCAGCCAAATGTTATAGGCACGGACATAATCATCAGTATTTTATACTTGAAATATCTTTATCCCTGTTATTGTTGTAACTACCAGGCTTCTGCTGAAACCCTGGATATTTCAAAATCAATAGCTTTGCCACTGGTTTCTAAGAAACCAGGATTTCAATCTATTGTGATTACAATAAATGTTTTCCATTCAAAAGTATGAGTTGGCAAGTCATTAAAGAAACCAGTAAACTATTTAAAGCCTTTGAGAAAAAGGTTAACAATCTAAGCAAACATAGGAAAATGCTTTGAAAAAAATCCTTGCAAACAGTTGCTTTTCAAGGAAAGTTTCTCCTTGGTCAAAGTCACAATGAAAGGGTAGTAAGAAATATACCAAACAGGCCATTTGACATGGCCTACATATTGGGCTGGTTTGCACATCACAATAAGCTGATGTGACAACAAGGCACCTTGAAACAGACAAGCGAGACAACCCACCATGGGTTGCTGTGTTGTGCAAACCAGGTTAATGGATAGTTCACATGTTCTCACGTTTTTAGATCATAGGCCAGAAGACAATAACCCTGCAATTATCACCAAAACAGAAGCCAATTAGAACAATGATAGTTAGTAGCCATGGGCACCTTCCTATTTGTTAAATTATTACCTTGGCTGTAGCCTCTTTTTGGATTAATCTACCAGGATTTCACAAGTGCTGATAACAACATATGGCAAGTTATAGTTTGAAATGGTGTTTAAAAAGAGTTTTGGAAATACTAGCATCGATCCCTTGGGAAGAAATCTGCCTATGGTGGTAAACTGTACAATTACTGGCCAGTTCTGTTAGAAGAAGCATTGTATATATGAGCCTTGCAGTGGTCATTCATTTTTTTCTGCAATGTATCGCATGGAAGTTAGTGGGACTGAGGCATACTTGCCCCCATGAAATTTTATATGGATTTATCACTTGCTGGATGAGAAATGCCAACTGTTTTTTTACGATAGTGATACATCAGTTACAGTTACATCAGTCCTAATCTTATACTAGAGTTAATAATTTTAGATGTGCATTTTCTGTTCTGCAAAGACAGGTCTTTTGACATACTACATTCATAAATGCTTGTTAAATTTCTAAAAGCGAAGAAATTGCCTTTGAAGGAAAATAAATGAGAAAACAAAGTATTCCAGTAGGAGCATAATAATCTAACGGGCATTGTTTCTCAATGTAACATCCTTAAACTTCTCTAGTATCTTCAAAATAACACTAGTTTATAGGAATATATGTTAGTTGAAAGAATATGCTTCTGATTTTGACAGACAGGAGCCAATCATGTAGTCCATCTACGTCCATATTAATATTTATTTCTGAAACCCATTCATGAGCAATCATTGGGTCAGTTTGATGCTGATTTAAGTTTTGATGGATGGGATGCTACAAGACCTCCTCATGACCAATCTCACTTCAATATCAGGCACGCTTTTCTGTTTAGTCTGTAAACAACCTTCATCTGTGGCTGCCAGGTGGAGATCAAAACGCAGTGAAACTGATTTTTTCCTTAAGCGAGGGTTGTCCTTAAAGAAAGAGCCTTCCCATTCTTTAATAACTTCATCGACTTTTTCTGTCCTGAAACAATAAAGTAAGCATTACACACAGATGTTAAGGCAAAGCATGACTTTATTAATAAAGTGATAAAAAGTAGCCTGTCCTGACCACACAGAGGTATATTTAACAAAGGCTGCTGAGTCTTTTACATGGCTGTATTTGTTGGAAAAAATATTGGGAAGGTGTGACTCTGCATTTCTTCCCTTGTAAAATAGAAGGAATCTAATGTTTAGCAATGTTTGCTGCTACAAGATGCAATGATGGCTGCCACCCAAATGGCTTTTTAAAAGGATTAAATAAATTAGTGGAAAATAAGGCTTCTAAAGGCTATGTCATAATGGCTATATGCCATCCCCATTATTGGAAGCAATATGCCTACCAGTACCACTGGATGGGGAATATGACTATGAGGGGGTATTGTACTCATGACCTGCTTTTCATGAGTATCTGGTTAGTCAGTGCAGAATCAAAATGCTGGAGTAGGTAGGCTTTTCTTTTGATGTTCTTATGAGTTCTATTAGGGAACATATTAATAATACTCTAAAAACAGAATATATATATGCCCTTGAAGATCTGCTTTCACACCCTATTTAGGAGAAAACAGCAATTCTGTTGAATTAAGCAATGCTGAGTGAAGGCTATCATTTAATTTGTGGTGCATTAAATTTTAGACTTTATCTTTTTGTATTAACCCTTTGCTAAATGCTTCTTTTGATGCCTTTAACATTTTCGGTGCAATCCAACCCCATTGAAAAAACCAGCCCTTCTGTGTAAATAGGTGTAGCTGGTCATCATAATGTAATCTGTCCACAGGAGCTGCATGTTATTCATCACAGTTGATAAATTAGTAAACTGCAAAAGTTAGCTGGTGTGCTGCGCCACGGTGGCACTTAAGAAACATCTGCATTGGGTAACCCAGGACTATTTAAAAACAACATATGAAGGCAGGACCTTACAGCAGAAGTGACCCTACCATCAGGCAAGGTGAGATGGCCACCATGAGTGGCAGATTTTGGACATAATTGATAGCACTAGGCCAATTGTTGCATTTTTCATCCATTGCATTTGATTTATGCAGGACAATTGTCAGAAGGATTGTGTCCCTTGTGGTTTAGCAGGTGGAGGCAGTATTATGTGGTACTGAAATATCCTAAGCTGGACCTGCCTTTGACAATATTTTCTTACTTCTTGAATGCACTTTGTTTTGCCCTGTTTGACTTACTGTACTGTGCCATGTGCTTCTGCACTCTCCTTTGCAACATTTAGGATGGCTTGTGTCGTCAGTATTTCCACTTTTTCAATCTCATGCTTCTTTAACTCACTTGCTGTATAAAGGGAAAAATGCAAATATAGGATAATATTCACCATTATGCAGCAACAAACACATGTCTGTAGGTTGCACCATAAGACATGTATCCACCTTATTTTCATTTCTTGTCTTTTACCCCTTTCAGAGCAGAAAATCACCGTTCTGAACATCAAGTCTGGGTCTGTACCATCTCATTGTGCATAATAATTCAGCTATTCAACTGATTAGCCTAGCTTTACAACTTCACTACTGGAAGCCCTTGCTCTCTGCAGCCCCAGAGGGCCAGACTAGATTTAACTGGCTAAATTTGCAGAAGGATAAATTCTGATTGAAAATTAGGAGAAACACCTTAATGGTAAGAGCAGTGGACTCAGTTACTGACAGTGCTCACAAGAGAGCATAATGCAGAGGGTAAAAACGATCTGTTGCAGAAGCTCTAGCTTGGATTTCCTGCATAAACAGGGGTTAGCCTAGATGGACTGCAAGGCTCCCTCCAACTTTATGATTTTATTATTTCAACCCATAAGTAAATAGATTTTTTTTCAAGCCAGAACATGGCAGTGCTACATATTATATGACTAGTTCACCTTGATGCCTGGGATATAGAGATTCGGGGTGAGGACACTCACATATGCAAGTGGGTGGGTGTGAAGTTCCCTGGCTGGGAAACAGCAGGGACAGTTTGGATTTGCTGGTCTTAATGGTATTGTACAAAGAAGCACGTATGCATACAAATTATTTTGTACCATGCTACTGTAAATCCCAGAAACTGGAAAAAAATTTTAATTTTTCCAGTCAATTATTGTCCTGAAATCCTGTGAGCCTTTCTTCAAATTAAGGCTTATCTGAAATCTGGACTATCCTTTTATGTTGTCCTGTTTTAAGGAAACTCACGTGAAGGCAAGATAAATGCTATTCTGCTGGTGGTAGGCTTTTTGTCATCTTTTCTTTCTTGGCGTGCAGAACAATGAAACCTAGAAATAAACAAAAATGATAAGAATGGGGTTTTAAATGGATATTGTCTTCCAAGTGGGCAAGAACCTTGAATGATTGCAATCGCTGAGTTCTGTGCCCAAGCACACAAGTTCAGTGTGATCCATACTGCATTTGTTTGACCTGCAGTACAACAGCCTCTTCAGCAGCAAAACCGTCAACCTTTTACGGATTTCAGCTGTCAAGGATGAGAGCAAAATGATGAAAGCAGCCCTCTTTCACGAATATTCATTCAGAGTTTTGAAAGCTTTATTCTGATTTGCATAATATGGGAAATTAAGCAGGCTATGCATACTTTCCCCTCTTATATTGATCTTTTGCATTTGGATTCTTTATAATGGCTGTTCCTTTTGGTTCCTTTGGACTTTGAGGAAATTATGACAGCAATCAGGAATGTGGATACAGGAAATGCATGTGAGTTTCTAGTTGAGTGGCAGAAAACACTTTTCAACCAATTAGTTTCAAATTGTTGGTCTCTGAATAATCATGTTTTTTAAATAGGCTCCCCTTCTTCATCGTGAAATGATGCTTTTATATTACTGTGGTTCCTGAGCCTGAAGGGATCATACTTACTATTGCCCTATTTCATCAATTAATGTGAATATTAAAATACTGATTACAATTCTGGCTGATAGATTTCAAGACATTACAACATTGGTTTGAGCAGATCATTTGGGAGATATTCAGCATAGACAGAGGGCTGATAGATTAGTTGTGGATCTGACAGAACAGACCAGGCAGCTATTGTTTCTTCAGAAGGTGAAACAGCCTCTGCAAAATTTAGAAATGTATTCTCACTAACACTGAGTTATTTTGGCTATCTGGCAGAGTTTTTGAGAAAGGTTAGAATTTTATATTCAGATCTGGAGCTATCTTTTTGTGTGTGTGGGGGGGTTGTTCTTTTCACTTGGGAGAGGTACTGGATAGGGATGTCTACTTTCTCCTTTGATTTTTGGTTTATGTTTGGAAGCTCTGGATTGTACTATGAATTGTGCACTGAATAATATTATTTTTGGCTTTGTGCACGATAGTTTAGAAATCAACATTATTCTTTATGCTGATGATTGTTTACTGTTTAACTTGAAACTTCTGTTGTCTGTTTCAACTTGGTTGCAGGTGATTAATACTTTTGGTACATGTTTGGCTCTTCAATTAATTGCTCAAGATCTGATGTAATGTCAGCTGGAGATATTATATCATGCAATGTATTAACTAATTAGAAATTCTGATGGTGCCTAGTTATTGCTTAATTGGGAATCCTTTCTAGAGATGTATCCCAAATAATCAAGCTCAAATTGAATGAGTTGATTAATAAGAACTCGCAGGATTTAGATAGCTGGGCATCTTTGATGTTGACTATGTGGGAAAAGTTACTGAACTCAAAGTGAATACTTTACTTGGTATTGTATAGGATTCCTTTATTTATACATGCAGCTTCAGTATGTACATTTGAAATGTCTGTGGGTCTCAGGTTATGTCTTATTCAGCAAAAACACTAGTTCTGTCTCTACTGAATGTTGCAACATCTCTTTTATGAGGGTATGTTCAAGTCAGCTAATTGCAGAATGTGTCTCACACATAAAGCTTCTTTTAGCCATATATTTTGGCAATCTCCAGTAGCTCTTGAGCAGGACATGGGAATGAGGAATACTTGACTTGTGCAAGCTAGTTCTTGTAACAACCAATTATGGTTTGTCATTGCTTTGTTGTAGAAGAGGAAGCCTGCCCATCACCCTGAATCAAACATGGTGTGCTCATTTTGTGGTTAGTACATAAACCCATTACCCTGAATCAAACATGGTGTGCTCATTTTGTGGTTAGTACATAAACTAGGTTTCCCAGTGATATCAAAATACTTGGATTTGCTAAAGACTTAAGATACATAGAAGCCTTAGCTCAGGAAGTGGGATAGAAATTTAAGAAATAAAGAAATAATTCATACTTGTCAAATAGTCTAGGCTAAATTGTGGGATTTGAGTCATATATGCAAGTACCTTTCCTCTTCCTGCTGCAGCAGATTGCGGTATGTAGCTATTTCTTGCTCAAGCTTCATCTTAGTGTTTAGTAATATTTCATGTTGCTGAAGCTGTTTATCAATTCCCTGCCGAACATCTTGTAGCTCTTTCTCCAGACCTTCAATCTCTGTTTCTAGATGCTTTAGCTGTTTTTGGTACTGCCGTTCAGTGGTACGAAGAGAACGTTCCAGACCCTTTTCCTATTAGATTAAGTTATTAGTTCAGATTCCATTGAGTATTTCTAAAAAGCCCAAGACCATTTTTAAACCAAGACAGTGCTCCAAACAAACAAACTTAAGTTGGTTTTAAATCAAATCAATATTTATAACAGTACTTTTAATTTTTATCTCTATAGTTTACAGCATTTAATAAGGGCTAAGTCATTTAGATGTCTGGATCAGGTCTACGTCAGGTTAAAATGAATCCAGGTGACTTAATGCAAATAAAGCATATCATGCTACCTGAGGAGAAATATTTTCTATTTTTTTCAAATTTTCTGGTTATATTCTTAACTATGTGGTACTTGTAAAAGTTCTTCAAACTTCAGAACAATTTTTGCTGTCTTTCAAATCAACAGTGCTGTAAAAATGATTAGAGCACTGATGAACAATGATTAGCAAAGGATCCATATAAACTTAACAGATTCATTTAAGTTATTTTTATCCCACATTTTTGACCAAATGATTGGCATATAATTGCATAAATAATGAAAAATAAAAGGACAAAAGACCAGTCACTGGATTAAGCAAAAGCACATTCACCCAAAACAACAACAACAAAATAATCCTACAGCAAACCAGCAATCCAGAACAGAATCAACCAGGCTTGCCAAAAGCTAAAGCAGAGAGTGCTGTTCAAATTCCACTTGAATGTGCTAAGACATGGAACAAGCTGAGCACCTTCTGGCTAAAGAATTCCAGATTGTAAAGGCTTGATCACATGCTCTCAATTACTTCCACACCTCACAAGATAAAGAGATGTGCAAAGGGGCCCCTCCTGATGACCTTAATGTGTGGGTAGATTTGTGTGGAAGGAGATGACCACTCGGATAACCTGGTTTCAAACCATTTGGAGCTTTGATTGAGCCCAGAAACCTACTGGGAGCCATCACAACAGATGGAAAACAAGGGTGATACAGTCATAATATTGTGCTTTTCCCATGAGCAGCCTTGCTGCCTATTCTGTAGTACCTGATTCTCCAGCAAACACTTTCCAGGCGTATTGCCCAAATGGTGTTTTTTGTGTAAAGATATTTTGGAGCTGCACTGCATGCCAACAGAAACCTACCACAGCATGGAGAGAGTCAATTTCCATCTGCATGTGATGCCACTGACGTCTCGCTTCGTTTAACTCTTCCCTGGCTGCCTTTAGGACTTCTTCGTCTTTGTTCATTCTCTCACTAGCTGCTGCTTCTAGCTGCAAGGAAGCAAGCAAAGCATGCCAGAATCAGTGAAGATTTTTAACTTCACTTGGGTGAATAAACCCCAAATTTCTGCAGCACAGCCCCTCCTGAGCATCATTTATTTGGTCACTGAGGAGAGAAAAATCTTGGATTTAGGTTTCAGTACATATGAATAAGTTAATATAGATCTTCCTTCCTTTTTCTTTCCAAATGCTTAATAATGAATTTGCATTCTCACCAAGTGGACTAACAATGTGGTATACCTGGCTATCAATTTAACCTATCATTTCCATTTAACTGCACATGCTGTAGTTACATATTGATTGCTCTACATGGGGCTGCCTTTGCAAAGTTCAGAAAATATTCCTGTAATGGCTTGGTTAGACCAACCTGAAGTTCACAAAATACTGTACAAGCTTTTGAGTTCTCCAGAAGTCTTCACTGGGTGAGATGGTAAGCAAAGCAAGAGGTGGGAGTGCTTGATGTTAAAGCCATAAATAAAATGGAAAGTTGGAAGGAAGCTGCAGACATTCATATTAGGCTCTGCCAGATAAGTTTCAGATTGCACCTGAATTGTTGGGAAGAAGAAACTAACAATGGCTGATCCATCATCTCTGAAAATACAAATCCAGCTGTCACACACAATTCATCACCATCCTTAGGTGAAACACAGATTACTTGGTGGGTAGAAAGCAGGCCAATTTTGTAAACAAAGCTGGAGATAATCTTAGATGGTGTACTAGGTTGAAGGATAGATTCCAAACTGAGTTAGTCTACCTGGTACTTATAGAGAATGTATGCTTTGAGAATAATATCCCAGCTTCAAGTGATATCAAGTTCAGCTTCAAGCTGAACTGGTGCCTGGCCGAGGTAATGGGCTGGATGAGGGCCAATAAACTGAAGCTCAATCCAGACAAGACGGAGGTCCTGTTGGTTGGCGGATCGGGCTTTGGAGAGGGTGAATTGAACCTTGTCCTGAACAGGGTTGCACTCCCTCTTAGAGATAAGGTCCGCAGCTTGGGAGTGCTCCTTGACCCTGAGCTTTCATTGGAAGCTCAGGTAACAGCAGCGGCGAGGAGCGCTTTCCTCCAGCTTCGGCTGATTCATCAGCTGCGCCCCTACCTGGAGAACGACTGCCTTGCGACAGTGACACATGCGCTGGTGACTTCCCGTCTTGACTTCTGTAACACGCTCTACGTGGGGCTACCCTTGAAGACAGTCCAGATACTTCAATTGGTTCCAAATAGAGCTGCCAGGCTGCTGACGGGGACTGGACGTTATGTTCACATGACTCCAGTTCTCCGTCAGCTTCACTGGCTCCCCATTGAAGTCTGGGCCCAATTCAAGGTGTTGGTGATGACCTATAAAGCCCTAAATGGCTTGGGTCCTGGTTACCTGAAGGAGCGCTTACATCCATATATGCCCAGCCGCCCCCTGAGATCGGCGGGAGAGGCCCTTCTCCGGGAGCCCTCCGTGGAAGAAGTTAGGAGGGTGGTTACTCGGAGGAGGGCTTTCTCAGCGGTGGCGCCTAAGTTATGGAATGCGCTCCCCAGAGAGGTCCGCCTGGCGCCATCGTTATTTGTTTTTCAGCGCCAGGCGAAGACCTTTTTATTTAAGCAGCATTTTAAATGATAATATTATTGAATTTTATCGGGCCAGGGCGGCTTATTTTATATTGTATATTTGTATCTTATTTTAATGTATATATTTTAAAATGTTATTTATGATGTTTTAATTTATTGTTGTAAGCCGCCCCGAGGCTTCAGCTAATGGGGCGGCATAAAAATGTTTTAATAAATAAAATAAATAAAAATAAATATTAAATCTTATTACTCTAGTTTCATGTCCCGAGGCTTATGCAAATGGGACGGCATACAAAAACTCCAAATAAATAAATACATACATAAATAAAATAAATAAATAGCTAAATCTCCAGTTAACAAAAAGAAAAGAAAGAAAGAAAAACCCATGGTAGCCGGGTTGACCGAAAGATAAATTTTAAATGTTCCAAAATATATATCATTTTAATGTCTAGACAGGGAAAGGCAGAAGAGGAAGATCAAATATAAGAGGGAGTATTTTTCTAAAGAAAGCCATCACCTTGAGTTTACAAGAGCTGAGCAGAACATATTGGAGGGCAATCATTTGGAGGGCCTCCATAAATTGGAAATGACTTGACAGCATATAACAAGTCCTTTCTTAAGCCAATTCCAAGGTTTGTTAACCATGAACAACCTACGAAGAGAACCCATGGACAGTGCCTGGCAAGCTCACCAGAAAAGCTGCAATGGACAAAGAGACCTACTGACATAGGAGTAACCAGTTTCCCCTTGGAAACTGCCTTTTCAAAGTGCTGTCCTCTCCTCACTTAGAAGGGGAGGTTTGAGCAGAGCCTGCCAGATGCCCCTAGACCACACGTGGGTTGCCTTGTATAAAGTCCGAGCTAGTAATACACAGTGCTTTTTTTGTAAGAAAAAAGGTGCTGGAATGCATGAAATTATTTGCCTTTCACACGTAGTCAATCACTGTACACACACCCACACACGTCAGTTGTGTAACGAAACATCATGGTTGCCGCTCGCAGTAAGCACTCAGCGCGTGACCACACGGCCAATCACAAGCCGAGCAGCGCCACAAGCGGAGCAGCGCCATCACAACCAGCGCGGACAAAGTACGCATGTATCGGACTCGACACACAAGCAGCCCGCATGCACCGTTTTAATGATTTTGCCGCCAACCTGCTACGCTCAACAGGGTGATTTGAATCCATGTGGACCAAACATCAAATTTTCAAAAGTTACTTTTAAAACTTGGAAAATCTGTTGAAAAAAGGTGCTGGAACTCTGTTCTGGTGCATTCTATGACAAAAAAAGCACTGGTAATAAATCACTACATTCTAGCAATCATTTCATTTCTTATCATGCTGATACCTGTCTTGAAAATGCATTAAACATTTGCTGTTATGATGTGGGAACTGAACTTCACTACTGGCTAGTAAATAATTGCTTGTGACCAGCTCCAGACAGAATTTGTGGATCCTTGCTCATACCTAATTCTGAGTGCGCATTTTTCCAAATACCAAGACGTCTGTGGACAAGTCAGCATACTCTGTCATTGCCAAAGTACACATTGTCTCTGCATGAGACAGTCTCAGCTGGGGCGTGTTTATAAGCACAGGCACAATTGATATCACCGAAGATCTGATCAGGCACAGTGAATGGCAGACAGGTTGGCTAATCATGCATTGCTTAAACACTGGCAATGCCACACCAAGAAAGAGGACCCCAATTTGAATATGCCTGTTACTATCTATAGGGATAATTTCTATTATTTACATAGAAACACAATGCACCTTTTGAGCTGAGCGGAGCTATCAAGGACTAGACATTTTGGAGAGTGTTCATTCAGAAGATCGTCGTAAGTCAGTAGCATGAAACGACCACAGGCCAATCATCACAACATAGTGGGGAAGACTCTGACCAGGTGTGCCTACTCCATGGGCTTCCTGAGCTCCAATTGTAGCTTCGAGGGCTCTGCATGCTGCCCCTTGTTAGGGTTTCTTATCTTTAAATCAGACAGGGCAGCCCTTCAAATAAAAGCTGCATTCAAAGCAAGGATGATGGCCACCCGTATGGCACATGCAGATCATGTAAATCAGAGCAAATCAGTGGCCGGATAGAAAATGGCATGTCCCCTCATTCTGTGTACAGAAGCCAACCAGGTTGGCTTCAACACCGGGGTGCCGGGGGGGGGGGGGAGCACAGGCAGCATCTTCCATTGTGCTTGTGACAGGAGCCCAGTTCAGGCGGCACCCACAGCTTTCTCTTGCTCCTCAGCATCTGCTCTGTGCACTGCCTAATTGCTGGCCAGCCCTTGATAGAGGATCTTCTGGAAACCAAGAATTTGAGAAATAGGGATAACCACGAGACCATGGTTACCAGACATTTTGAGGAGAGAACCTGACAAGGCCTGCACATGTGTTCTCAGAGACTCAAACATTAACAGAAACTTCTCAAGCCTAATGTGCATGAAGCAGATGGCAGGTGGACTTACCTGACTAGAAAGACCTATTATGAAAACCCTATTCAGGAACCTCATGAAACAATAGGCTAAGTCCTATTTCAGTATTGGGCTTTTGTGTAGAATAAACAGGTGATGAGAGGAAGCAGGCTCCATCTGTCATCAGGTTCTTCACCCTCTACACTCAGAGGGTGACTTTCTGAAGAAGAGAGCTTCCTGTAGCCACAGGGGCTCTCCATGCAATTCAGAATGCTGGGGAAAAAGCCTTCTGGATCAAATGGGACACCTGTGTAAATACAAAAGATAGCAGGCTCCACAGATGCAGAAGACAGCAGTTTAGGGCAATGGACATGATGACGGAAGGGGTAGGCTAGTGCGCTCCCTTCTTAAACAAATTCAGAGCTCCTGTACAGGGCTTCGAGCCAATGGCAAAAGCTGGTCAGGGCCCAGGAATACTTGACCTACATAACTGGACATGTTATTCAACGTGTTAACCCTAAACATTTACAAAACAAGAGCAGCACAGTCATACCGTAATTGTTACATATTGCCAAGCTAAGCAACCTTGCCAGAGAAGGCCAAAATAAGGTTCACAAAGTCAGGAAGCAAGAAGTCCTGCAAAACAGAAGTTTTGAATTTCTGCTGAAAAGCCTGAAGAAGTACAGTGCACACGCACACACACACACACACACAGAGCGCCCTCTGCAAGGCCATTCAAGGCCATTCATCCTTCTTTTGCTTATTATACTTCCCTGCCACCTGATAACCAAAGATTTCTGGGAACGTTATAAATTTAAAAAAACTTAAAATTGCTATATTCTACATATTATAAAGGCCAGTTACTTGGAAACATACACACCTCTCAGAGGCACTTGAAAGAGAGCCTTAGATGATGAGCATAGCATAAAGGTAGGTAGGCCCTCCCCTTGCTACCAAGGTCCTTACTCCCTGGCATAGGGAAAACAGTAATGTCCTATCACAGAGAAGAGCCCTTTAAGGTATGTTTGACTCTGGCCATAAAGAGCTCAAAGGGCCCCAAACAGTGGCTTCATTTGCAATCAAATGTTAATCATAAAGTTCGGCCTCCTGCTTGCCAGGTAATGATGGAAGTCAGAAGATATTTCAGTCAGTCCAGCTAGAAAGAACACGGCTATCATCCCCAACCTCCTGCCCCTCAGCTTCTCCATCGACTCAGGTGCTATTGGTTTTTGTGCCTCTACACTTCCACAATACAAAACAGACCTGTAAGCCCAACATTAGGTGATGGTTTCAGTGATTCGCATAAGTGCTACATAGAATAAGTTGTGTGTGTGGTGTGCTGGCTGGTGGGTTGGCTTGGGATATGGGACATCCAGCTCCAAACACCAGATTTGTTGAGAAGCCTGGTGGATGGGCATGTCACTAACTCCAGGCCTAACCTTTCAGATTTTCATGAGGTTAGATAAAGAATGTTATAACCTGCCCCAAGCTCTTGGGATAGGATTTGAAAGCTATCACAACAAACAGACAAATGGTGTCCACTCCACCTACCGAAGTGGCTGAAGTGGCCGGCCAGCCTTAAGAGATTATAAAAGGACCATTCATTCAGAAATAATGATTTCAAAGGACAGCAGAGTGATTAGCTCATCCTCCTTCCTACTTCAGTTTCGTGGTTTATGGTGCTTGGGGTTGTCAGATAGGTCATCGATTATGATTCAGACACATTTATTACTGTGTGAATTTTTAATGCTGTCACTGTGACCAGGTAACCTTTAAGAAATATGAGACACGAAACAGGCAAGCAAAGCATTGCAGAGCATTGGCACCCCCTTTTGTCTTCTAGGGACATTAACCCTTACCTTGAGAGTAAAACATAAGCTCCCATAATCTTATAGGTGCCTAGAAATCTTAACCCACCTTAAAAGAGGTTTTTTTAAATGCAGCTTATTCAGTATTTTATTTGGAGGAGAAGGGAAACAGCAAAACCTTTGCCATCCTAGTTCTATAAATATCTTAATGCAAGGTGACACAATGCTACCTTAACATCCTTAACGTATTTCCCCACTTTATCTAGACATACTGCAGTATGAAAAAAAAAAAAAAATCAGATTCCCTTCCCCAGTAAAATGCTGCATTGAAAAAGGAAATACTGTACCTCACAGAGGCTGAGAGAGGAACTGAGTACACATTGGAATGTCTCCTTATTCGGGTAGGTGCCTGTCTGTATATGATCATTACCTGGGTCCCTGCTGAGAGGACGGTCTCTATCTGACTTCGGGTGATGAGCGTTTCATAGTTTGCCCTGATCTCATTGAGGAGCTGGGACAGTTCCATGCTGCTCCCATCCTCCACCTTGGCTATAACTGAACCTTATTTACAGGGCGAGAAGGCTGCTGCAAAGCGTTCCCGGGCTGCAGTAAAAGTGAGAGAGAGAAGAGAGAGCTAGAGCAGAGGGTGAGGAGGGAGGGAAATTCACATTTTTTTTTTTTTAAAGTGGCAGAGTTGTTTTCCTTGAGCAACAGCATTGAAGCAATGGCATTTCTTGTAGCTCTGAGGTTCTCACCCTTGTCTTAGAACCAGATTGTGCACAGCTAAGAAATTTGTCTGCATTCCACTGAGGAATCAATCAAAAAGCTTTAACAATAGCCATGCACTTAGTGATGCTTTAATAAGAACTTGATATTGCATAAAAACAATTAGCCCTCCAATTTCTCCTCTGATATTTCCAATAGATGCATATTATGATAAGCATTTAAGGAAAAGCAATGATGCTATAATATATATTATTATATGTGTTATAGATTTTGATGATATATAAAGAAAGATTGACAAGAAGGAATATAGCTGTAAAATTATAGAAAACTATAAAAGTTCTTGCCAAAAACTAAAAGGTGAAGGAGTAAAGAATGACTTCTTTCTTTCTTTCTTACTTTCTTTCTCTAAAACTTTTATATGCCGTCCTTTATGCATGACATCTCAGGACGGCTTACAATCATTAAAAATAAAACACCCATATCAATATAATAACAATAACCAGAAATATAGATTAAATAAGTTAAATAAAAAGCGACTGTTGACCATTAAAATACCAATTTTAATTACTTTACTACCAATTGGTTTCAAGATTGGAAAGGGAAATTCAAACAGGACAAGGTACTTTAAGTGACCTGATAGAATTTGAAAAGTTGATGACACAGCAAAAGGTCACCTATTAGGATGAGTTTATAAGCAATAACTCCAATATGATACTGAAATTGAACAAGTTATAATATGTATAAGTTGGATGCAGAATTTTGAGGAAAAAATATATTTCCATCAATGGGAGACCTTGTGGATGAAGGTTATAAAATTCACAGCTAGTCAAGCACTGAGAGAACATTGGTACAAGATTTTTTTTTTTTTTTTGTTATATTACACCAATAGAATTCTTATGGGTTAGAATTCTAATGGAAAGTGCTGGAAATGTAAAAAAAAAAAAAAGTGGATGGGACTTTTTACCATATGTGGTGGATGTGTAATAAAGTTTTTAAAATTTGGAAAGAAATGAACCCAGGAATACAGAAATTTTTGAAAATTAACTTTCCTATGAATGCTAAGAATATGCTACCAAGTATTGTACCAGAAACTCTGCCAAGGAATTTGACAGAGTAATTTAAATATACGACAACAGCAGCTACAGCTATAACAGCATCACAATGGAAAGCAGAAGTCTACCCAGCTAAAGAAGACTGGAAATATAAACTAGCTGACTATGTAGTAATAGCAAGACTAACTTGTTACATAAATAGAAGACTGGCTGAAGAATTAAATGATAATGGAAAGCTTATTTTATACAATTTACTTAATACACTTGTAAAAATAGAGCTTATGCTGTGAGCCACCCAGACAGCCTTTGGCTATGGAGTGGCATACAAATGCAATAAATTAATAATAAAAATATCATTAGTGAGCTATAATTTTAATACAAATGCTTTGTAGTTATTTAAAATCAATTTAAAAGGAATGGAAAATAGGTCAGTACTAAGAATTAAAAATTAGAATAATTGTTCTATAAGTTTCAATTGAGTATCATAGGAAAGATAACAATAACTATGTTTTTGTGAAATATTTTCATCTTGATATTATAAGTAATATTTGTGTCAGATCCCTTGGTATCTTTTTTTGTATTCTACTTTTTAATGAAAATAATAATAATAAATAAAGGAAACTTGCCCGCATTCCCAATGTTTGTGGCCAGTACAGGTCAATGTACTCCTACTACTTCAATGTAACTTTTTCTGGCATAGGAATTTCAGTGTTGAAACATAGAAACAGAGCGAGTCAGAAGGGGTCTCCCGGGCCATCTAGTCTGACCTTTGGCTCCAGCCGGCTCTGCTCACGAAGAAAACATGTTTTGCAAACTGTGCATCATTTGGTGGATGCAGGCAAGCCCTGATATGTGCCTATAATTGCATATACTTGGAGGCAGTGAGAGCAGCAAAGAAACAATATCTCACTGCCCATATTCAAGCTTCTCTTTGCTGCCTAGGGGAGCTCTCTAAGGTCATCTGCAGCCTACATGCCTGTCCCATGGACATTTTAGAGGCATCTGAGGGCCACTGCAATATGTTTGCTAGGCGCTTCCAGGACAAAGTCTCTTATATCCGCTGGGATATAGACTCCACAGTGGAATCAGATGAGATATCCATAGCACAGCCCGGTCAAATTCTCTTGGATGAGTTCCAGTTAGTGCAGCTCAAGGATGTTGATAAGGTGCTCAGACAGGTTCATGCAATCGCATCTGTACTGGATCCTTTTTCCTCCTGCCAAATAAAACCATTAGGGAGGGAACAGCTGGCTGGGCCAGGGAGGTGATTAATGCCTCCTTGAGAGAGGGAATAGTCCCATGACACCTGAAACTGGCAATGGTAAGGCCACACCTAGAAACCCTTTCTAGACCCAGAAAATCTTAATAATGTTGGGCCAGTGGCTTCTTGGGCAAGGTTATTGAGGGGGCAGTGGCCAACCAGCTCCAGGCATTCTTGGAGGAGATTGATTATCTGGATCCATTTCAGTTGGGGTTCAGGCTAAATTTTGGTGCAGAATCAGGTTTGGTTGCCCTGTCTGATGACCTATGCTAGATGGAAGAGAGTTAGCTCGTACTCCTATATCTCTCTGTGGCCTTCAATTCCCTCAATCATGGTATCCTTCTGGAGCAACTGGCTGAGTCAGGAGTAAGGGGTGTACTGCATTTCAGTGGTTCTGCTCCTCCCTGAATGGCCAGCTTCTGAAGGTGGTGCTTGGACTATCCAGTACAGGATCTAAGCACCACCAGCTGCCTCAGAGGTCTGTCTTGTCCCTCAAGGGGTTGCACTCCCCGTGATGGAACAGATTCACACCTTAGGGGTGCTTCTTGAGACCTCTAACACTTGAGGTCCAGGTGGCCTCAGTGACACAGCCTGCTTTCTACCAGTTGGTTAGTAGCCCAACCAAGACCCTTATGTAGACAGGGATGACCTGGTTTCAGTAAACTAGGATCTGGTAATCTCTAAATTAGATTACTACACTACACTCTACATGGGACTATCCTTAAAGACTGTTTGCAGGTTTTGCAAAATGTGGCAACGCGATTAGTAACAGGGACCAGAACGTTTGAGTACATTACACCTGCTTGCATTGGCTGCTTGTAAGCTTCTGAGTCCAATTCAGTATGCTGGTCTTAACCTATAAAGCTCCACATGGCTGGGGAACACAATAACTGTCAGAATGCCTCTCCCAAACTCCTTATCAATGCTGTGGTTGCCATCTCTGAGGGAGGCAACAAGGAGAAGGGCCTTTTTAGTGGTGACCCTCCAGTTTCCACTGGAGGAACATGCTTCCCACTGAGGCCCACCTGGCACCAACCTTGATAACTTTTTGGAATCAGGTTAAGCCTAGGCTAGGGAGAAATCTTTCAGAAAGCAAGCTGAGTCAAGAGGAAGTCTAAGAAACTAAAACCCTAAAAACTAAAATGTCTCCTATGTTAGTATTTAGTCTATGTTAAACCTTTTCTGAGTGTGCAAATGGTGGTCAGGATCAGCTAAACTTAGAGGAGCCAGGATGTCTAAGGACGAAGACAAATGTTTATAGTTTTGTTGGATTTGAGGAACCAAACTGTGGAAGAAGAAAAGTTTGTAGCATGCTCAGCTGAAGATTAGAGGAAGAGTTTAGGGAAAGGATTAAGGGCTATAGTGGACAAAAAACTTATCTTTCTGATTGCAGTTGGGGAGGGGTAATCAATTTTAAGATAAATGCTTAGGGCAGAAGCTGGAAGTGGGTAGGAGGAGAGTGGGAGAAGAAGACTGAAAAAAGAAGGAAATCTAGAAAGAGGCTGGAACAGAGGAAAAGGTTCTGAGCCTTCTTGGTAGAAATATAGAACACAAATCAAATATATAAACATATGGTAATAAAATATTGCTTAAATTAGGGATGCAGTCTAATTAGGTTAGTTGGTTGCATTTATTCTTGGTCATTTTATTGCCCCATTATGCAGTTTTTCTCTGCGTTGTATGTGCATCTGTTTGGTTTTTTAAACTTTTTCCTATTAATCCTTTACTTCAGTAACACTTTTAACCTTTTTGTTGGGACCTGTGTTGGAGCCTCACTCATCGTTCTGGGGGAGCCACTTCATATCTAGTGGCCAATACCCACATTACTGAAAGTAGATACCTGCATCCTAATTTTAGGAGTGTTTTGGTGGAGGCAGCCAGAATGAGGTGGCTGGGAACAGGAGGCAGAGGGATTGATTTCTATCTAGTGGCAAGAGAAGAGGTATCAGGAGTCAAAAAACAAAAAGAAGTTAGAACATAGTGCTTTGCCTGATTTTCTCTCTACTCACAGAACAGAACAAGATCTTGACAGTCCCTGGCAATACTTATCTACCTAAAAAGGGAGAGAGAGAAATTAAATGATAATATCATTTGTTTAGACAAGGTTGCTATTTTGTAAATCCTTGTTTTGGCTTTCTTACAAGTGAAGACCTAATTATCATTTCATGCCTTTAAGGCTTGACAAGGAATAATAAATAAAGGCTTAGGCATGTTGCAAACCTTTCCCAGGAAGTTGCAGTCTATATATGTAATACAACATACTTTTGGATGCTCTGCAGCACAATCATATACGTTTTCCCAGCAGTCAAGTCCCATTGACTTGGTTTGCACAATATGACATGCTATAGTGGTTTGTTGTATTGTGAGTACCTTGACCACTTTTCCCAGGGGGCTTATCAATGTGCAAGAAGCTATTCCAACAGCCCATGACTTGTTCTAGGGGTTCTTTAGCCTGTGATCAGTTATCGCATCTCTTGAATCCAGGCAACAGACCACATCAAGGATTGCGGAAACCAACC